ATGATCAATTGTTAGATTTAGCCATGCTACTCTCCGATAAGTTGATGTTACAGGGATTTCAACAACACCGTTAAAGGGCATTACATCAATCCTATGGTCATTATAATGACTTTCTTAGCTAATATGACTTTTCACTGGGTTGTATTTTAATGGCTGACTTGTTTTTATTCATCGTTAGGCCTTTGCTTATATTTGACTATTGAAAGTTCTGTCTACTTGATCAATACATAGGACTCATGATCAGAGCCCTATGCATTGTTTACTACGAGCGGTCAACAAGGAATTTTTTACCCCTCCTAGGCACCTGATCCCCCCTTTGGAATTTCTTGTTGTCGTTGTTTTAAATCCTGTTCACATATAGATTTTTGAGATCGACCACTCATCTTTGTATTTCACCATTGAAAAAAAAAGAAAATTTGCTTTAAATTTATTTTAATATAAATGTTATACCGGTATTACATAGAAAATCAGCAAAAATCGTTACATTATGATTTAAACATGTTTTATCGTGTATATGTATTCACTTTACAAATCGCTTCCTCACTAAGATATTGTTACAGTAGAGAAGGAGAAACTTCAGGAGTACTGTGCAACAATATATTCGAGAAGTAGTGTAAATCAGATGTTGTTGATACGAACTTTTGAAAAATTTGAAATCGCAAGATTCTACTTAAATCAACAGCTTAAAAACTTACGACATTTCAACTTTATACACAACCATTCCCCACGATAAATTGCAGTTCAGGCTTTTTGATATCATTGACAGCTGCTTTTTCAATAAAAATGGAACTCGTGAATTTCTTTCCTTGTCATTGATGATTTGCAAAATTATTCCCTTAGAAAAGATTTTGATTATACATACAAATACTCTGAAGTTGACATCAAAAAGATACTTGAGTCTCTGATTGACAATGTTGGTTTTGGAGACTAGGTCTTCAATCAATCTATTGGAATTCCGATGGATATCAATTGCGCCCTGTTATTAGTAGACTTTTTTGTATTCATATGAAGCAGAATTTGTGCAAAGTCCTATATGTGAAAAGAAGAAAACACTTGCTGTTGCCTTCAACTAGACATTTAGATATATCGACGACGTATTGTCATTTAGAAATGTTTTTTTTTTCATTCTGATGTCGATATGAAATATCCCGGTGATCTTGAGATAAAAGATACCACAGAGTCTGAAACATCCGCTTCTTGAAAAGACGTTAATGGTAATCTAACAGCCAAGCTTTATGATAAAAGAGACGACTTTAACTTTTCAATCGTCAACTTCCCATACTTATGCAGCAGTATACTTGTACCTTTATCACCTTCATACGGTTTTTTATATCTCTCAGTTGATTCGATACGCAAGTGAAAGCTCTATGTATGTACAATTTCTAAAACAGGGTAAATTATTGACAAACAAGTTGCTGAAACAAGAATATCAACTGCCTCGTTAAAACTCGTTCATTTCGTAGGTTCTATGGTCGTTGCAATGACCTTGTCGGTAAATCCAGTTAACCACTAAGCCAAATGCTGACTGACATTTTTCATACTAATTGTACGGCCATTATTTACACACTGAAATGACCACGGATTTTCCCGTAATTTCCTGATCATGACAAGGTCCACATGGTGGATGTGACCAATGGGCAGGGAATGCTTACTCCTCCATGACACCTGATACCATCTCTGATGTTTTGGAGGTCCGTGTTTGCTTTGCTCCTATTTTGTATTTTTAATTATAATGGGCTTTTAGCTTGAATATTGCTCGCTATATCCATATATGTCATTCCAGAAATAAAAGGGCTTTTTGAATTCATAATCTGCTTCTCCAATTGTCAATGTTGTCATACCGGTATATTGCTGAGCTACAACACTGTTTAAATCGTTTTGATGCTTTAATTTTTTTTGTTTAAATTAAATAAATTTACAGATCTTGGATTTCATCACTGATAAAATCTATGCAATCTTTGAAGTTCTGGCTTCCAAGAATCTGTTCTTACGAAGCATAAGTTATTCAAGGATTTCTAATGAAACATGCTCTTGTTGTAGTTCCTCATTTTAAACCTTTAGACATAGTTGATCTTTAATCAATTAACAATATTTTTTTCATTCATGTTCTCAAAATTTAATTGAACTGATGGCAAACTAACAACTTGATTCATGTCAATTTTTCTATTGAAAACTTTCCTTATCAATGTGCTAAGATACCATTATCACCAGGCTGCCCTGTATAATGTTTCACAGTTGCTTCTATATGCAAGAGCATGTCCAGCTTTAATAATTTGTCTAACTGAAACAGAATACAGGATACCTAAAATGTTAAGAAATGAAATCCTTGAAAATATGTATTATTTAATATTTTTTTTAAATATCGAGATAACGATCAGTAATCAATTTAAAAAGTCCATTGTAACAATATAAATTGAGAGCAGAGAAAACACGAACCTTTTAAAGTTGCAGAGAAGGGATCAGGCGCTGTAGAGGAGAACGTATCCCCAACTGGTGACCGACCGAGCTTTTTGTCGTCATCGGGCAAACGAATCTTTCTGTTTGTAAATAAAAGGACAACACTTCATATGAAAAAACTTCATTCGCTTTTTGACTTAATGGAAGATTGTTTTATTTTTTACAATGTCATGGTATCGACAATAGAATTTCTGAAATGTTGACTTAAAACGAGACTGCTGATATATTTGCTTCATTAACTTTTTTGTACTGTTTTATAATTTTTTTTCCTACCTGGAGAATGCCTTTGTGTGTCGAATCACTTGGGAGACATACAATGTTTACTACATATGCAGGCAGCCCTGGATTAAGGGTATCCTGCTACATAAATTCCGGAAGTTGATGATAGAAAAGATAAAGTCATCATGTTGATCATACAATTGTGGTGTTCGATTGCCATGAACGTCTTTTTCTACTTAAATACCACAAAATATGAAACAGACGTGCCAGACTCTGTGGTATCGTTTACCTCGAGTTTACAGAGATATTGAAACAACGTTGGAACGAAAATGAATACATATAAATGATAGAACATCATTGATGTGTATCAATATTGAATTGAAGGTTACAATACAGGACTTCTTCTTTTCAAATAGAAGTTTTTGAAAAAATCTGCTTAAAGTGATTACAGAAAAATAGGTCTACTAGTACATTTAACGGGGCGCAATTAAATTCATGAGAATCACAACAGATTGTTGAAAGAGTTGACCTCCAAAAAAAGCTACATAGATTTTTTCAATCAAACTCGAAAATCTTTTTAATATCAACTTCATGGTAATAACATAGCCAGAATACTAAACAATAGATTTATAATTTGATTTTTTCTAGATAAAAAAAAGGTTGTGATACTTGTTTGAAGAAGTTGTTGTCAATAGATTCTGAAGAGGTACTAGAATACATGGAGTTGCGAAATCGGTAATAATTAATGATAATTAAAAACACTGACTTCATAACAATTTCCTTTTTAACTTCTTTTAAATTACTTACCAAATTTTAAAAATAACACTATTTATCTTTAAAATTATTTTAAACTTTAGAATACATGCTTAAAAAACATCTAAAAATACATCTTAAGACATGTCTTAGGATATGTCTTAGAGCACTTCCTAGGAGTTCAGCTGTCAAATTCATGTCACATGAATGAGGACTTTCAGTCCCAGATGGGAATGACAAGGTTATATCTGTAGCTTGAAACTTGTGATACTCAGGTAACCGTCAAGGCCATTTCCCCAAATCAACTATAGCTCTGTCGAACAATTCCGTTTATAATAAATAAAGTAGAAAATCACACATATATTACTGAAAGAGAGTAAAAAGTAACACAAGATGTATAATTAATTGAAGGTCAAAAAATTTCATTTATGTATAATCACATTTGTTACTGCATTTGTTTTTTTTCTTTTTTTATTTTCGTGAAATATTGACATGTAATTTGAAACAAATAAATGCAGCATTACGTATGAATTTCAGAACAACGTCATATTTTAATGCAATGCATATGTTAAAATTCATGCAAAGACTTGCCAAAACTAAACGAAAATTTTTTTTCGAGTGGTGGTGGTTTGAATGGAGATACAAATGACTTTCCAAGATTTAATTCACATATATTACTCTCCTTGCCATTTTCTGTGAGGTTTCTGTTTTCTAATTCGGTTATCAGGTAATTTTTTGGTTACATGACATATAAAACTCTAAAAGGGGAAGGGGGTTGGTGGGTCGGACATCCGCCCATAAAGACAAATATAAAATACTAGTGCTCCTAACACAATCTATTTTACATTTATTAGAACTCTTGACTGTTATAATAATTTCTCTTTAATAAATATTATTTTGGTTTCGAAAATTCTGGATAAATAAAATTTTAACAACTCTAAGGTTAGACACAAAGTAAGGAAACATGCAAGGATACACTGTCTGCACATAAGGATGTCACGTTTTGTCAATAGGAATCACACAACATTACGTAATGTAAAATCATGTAGGGCAAAATGGAGTTAGTTATTATTGTATATTACTGAGGCTGATTCGGTTGAATAAGTTCACAGTAATTAATCTTATACTTCAGAAACAAGTAAACAGTACATGTATTCAAGGAAAAATAACAATAGCTGAATAGAACAGATTGACATTTTGCATCAAATGTCACAAATTTGGAAAAACCATTTAGTTAAGCTTCTAAATGCTTCAAGGTCAAGATAGAGACATTTAAAAAAGTATATGTATGTTTCAATATATCAAGAAGACATGAATTTTGATATATTTGTCTATTTAGTCTAGAAAAAACAAAAGGTAAAAAAAAAATGATGGATTAATTACTTTATGGTTTCCTTTCTGGTTCAATTTCCATGATTTTGTATATCTATTCGTATATATTTATACATGAAGAATTAGTGTAGTTCTATATTTTTTAAATACATTCTAGGTAATGTAAATGTAAGAAAACTTGAAAAAGGAGTCAATATTGAATAACAAAGACGTTCTAATAAAATATTTTATTACACATTCCATAAAATGCATTATAAATACATTAGTACTAGATACTAAAAAAAATAATTCATAAATCAGCTAACATGATTATTTTTTCTAGAGCTTCTACTAAAAAGCTTAACCATGAGAAATTCATATGTTGCATTTACAATGCCCCAAGAAAGAAAAGATCTTGTAAAATTAATATGCACTCCTCGAAAGAGTTTGCGAATACTATGTTTCCTTTCTTCTTGCACAATTCTGTAGGTATGGAGCAGACCTTCAAATGTTCCTCCGACCTTACTCTGCATCTTCACCTTCACAACATTTACGGGATAAAACAGTGTGCTTAGAGAGGCTCCAAGTGCTGCCCCACAAATAAAGTCTTGTGACGTTCTCTCCAGCACAGAATCAGGATAAGGAAGAGCATTCATTAAATAGTCCCTGCCGAGAAAGAATAAAATATTGCTGCCACAGTTCCTCAGAAGAACTGCCGAGCCACCTCTGTAGAATTCCTTCACGCCATAAATTGACCTCAACTCTTTTGCGGCATGCCTGGCATTTTCAAATCGATGGTTGTAATTTTTGTCCTGCATGAGAACTTGAATTCTCTCAAAGGGTAACAGAAAAGCCTCCAGAGCCCCAGCAAAGGTGGCTGAAACCATGCTATTAAAATATGGAGACTGGGGATATTCTTTGTTCATATAATTACAACACTTGTAGTATATTCCAAACATCAATGTCATTGAGGCAGTTTTTTGTATCAGTGGAGGAAAGAGTCCCCTGTACAGGTTACGTAAGCCCTCCGTTTGCAATTGTTTGAGGGCAGCAAATGTTCGCACGCCTGATAGTTGCTGGCGAAACATGACTTTGTTGATGGGAAAAGTGAGTGTAATATTAACGAAGGCAGACCCCCAGCCACAAATAAACTCTGCAGAGCTATCTTCTGAATCTGATCGGACCATCTTTGGTGAGTTTTCATATTCAGTATAGTTAAGAGGATTATGGGACTGAAAGAAAAAACATTTAATTAAATTAGTTATACATGTAAATGTTTGAAAACATTGAAGAAACAAATAGTAATACCACAATGAAACTTTTTTTATGTTAATCAAGGTGCTATTCTTCAGATTCATAATAAAGAGTTACAGATAAACATGATAAATCCCACTTTTAAAACAGCATTTAAAACATTTTTAAGACTTCTTCCGTGACTTACACATAACTAAATCATTAAATATATTTTATAATCGGGTATTGATTTAACAACCACTATTCTGAATCATCTCTGATTTTAAATATTTAATTTCTAAACAATCACCATACAATCTGTAAAAAAAATTCCAAACTCACCTTTAAAGGTTATGAAGCCCTTCATTTGAACAAGTCTTACTCTGCTTTGCCTTAAAATACTTCATGAGTTGACTCTAATATTTATTCTCAATCATCAGAAAACTTTAGATATAAACTTCTAAAAGAAAAAAAATTATCATATTTTAGGCTACATTGAAAAAAATGACACATTCAAATGAAAGAGATAGATTTTTTTCAGGGTGTTGAAAAAGAAAATACATACTAATTATGCATAAGCTGATAAGGGGTGTGTAAATATGTGATTGTCATCGTTTCATAATCTAATCAGAAATGCAAAAATCATCAGAGATTCTAAATGACCAGTCGACCCATGAAACACCACAACACATTATTAGTGAAACAGCCTGTGGGTTCGTTTCGACATGGCCAACACCAGAATGGCAGAAGAGAAAACTCGGGAAAATCCACGTTTAAGGTCCTACTTATCAGATGCACCCTCAAGAGGGTAATTAAATAAAGTGAATTTATGTACATAATTACGTTTTTAAAAATATTTTGCATAGCTGTAGTTTAATAAGTAGAAACGAAGTTTTCATACCTGTAACAGTAATCGTGAGATCTGAGGACGTCAATGTTATTGTAACGAATCCCGAGCCCGACGATAAATACAGAGCAAACAGTTCGTGGTTTGACTTGAACACGACCCAATGGCCACGCCACGTCATCTTCGCAATTAATTAATTCATTCAATGTACAAGATTTTCGAACTGTTTATGAAACAAAATGAAGGGAAATTATGCTTCAACTCCTACCGAATTTATACTCAGGGTCTCCTTTTAAAAGATGAATTTAAAAATAATGTTGAAGTTTAACATGTTTAAAACACTGTAATTCTAGCTAGTTAGTGAAAATATTTTTTAAATGATACTAATTCTGGAGTACTACTAAACAGAGTACGCTAGAGTACGATAGAATACTTCAGAGTACGCTGGAAACATTACATGTATTTTAATATAAATAGACTGTTTTTTTTATGCATATACAACTTTATCAAACAGTATTCTAAAATAATATTGCAACATTTGTCCCAAATATTTGTATCTGAGCAGGCTTTAAACATCATAGACAACATGATTTTATATGATATAGAGATCAAGTGCAATTCATAATATTTCATAAAGTCATTGGTCACTACGAAATTACTTTGTTTAAAATCATTCTGATTCTAATTCTTGTGTACTAATTTAGTTACAATATATACATGTATATCTAAGTAAACTGGAGATAATAGGCACATACTTTTGAGTCTGTTACGTCTGCCTCATACAGTTATAATGTTTTACAGTACTAACAGCTAGAACAGCAAACGACCAAGCAAGATAACAAAATTCAGCCTTTCAAGTTAACAGTGACATTCAAATTTTACCCGCATAGATTGTTACTTGTATGTCTCTCTATTGATGCGCTTATTTCGCAAGAGCTTGATCTCAGTATCATGTTGTAAATTTTGAATTTACTAGGGGGAGGTTAATACAAAATTTACAACATGATATCTTATGTTGTAAATTTTGCATCTACCTCCACGTAGTGAATTCAAAAGTTAAAATATGACATGAATACGATTAATTTTGAAACCAAGGCAAACTATTGATAAATATGATGTTAAAAGACTTCCAAATTACTAGTTTTTTTTTTTTTTTTTTTTTTTTTTACATTCAGTATTTTATAAAGAAGAAGGTACAGTTTGAGCTTTATTGTGCCCTAAAAATTTAATGTTCTTAAAAAGTTATGAAATTGGCTTTATAACAAGAGTTGAGTGGATGCATATGATAAATCATTAAAGAATATGATAAAAGTTTAATGCAGACTAATTTCTGTGCTTATTTTCCTTTAGAAAATAGTGTCTGCCACCTTTGCCCACTTCAATTTTTGGATATATTATGTAAACTGCTTTGAAAAAGCACATATCTCAAAATCTTTGTGGGCGACAATGGCAGAAAATGTTTTCTGAAAGAAAAGATCACTGAAAATGGATGTCTTCTGCAGCTTTTTATGTTTTGTAAGAAAATACGAGAAAATGCAGAAGTTAATGACGTCACAGTAAGCATTTAGGAGATGATATGAGCTAATCGGTTTGAGTATTCTTATTGCATGGAATTCCTGAGTCAGAAAGAATAAACTTTGATTTTTTATATCACCTTCATATTTTAGAAAAATACAGGGCTTAATTTGTATTGAAAATGTACCTTGTTCTTAGATTCTAAAAAATACAGTACGCGACACAAAATTATCAAAACTTATCTTTGCTAAATTCATCATTAGCTGCAGGTATCAATTATCAGGAATTAGATTCTTAAGATACAGGTGTTATAAAAAATACAGTACGCGAAACAAAATTATCAAAACTTATCTTTGCTAAATTCACCATTTAAGTATATGCACAGTTTGTTTTTCTTTTATTTTATAAAATTCCTTGGAGCTTATTTCTAATTTGAAAAGATGAATTTAATACACACTCAATACATGTGATTTTAAAAACTATTTATTGTTGAATTTTATTGTCCTTGGTTGAATATTCATAAACCATATTGAAGAGAAAATATCTCTCGTTAGTTCTTTACTTGGAGCATACGCTACAGTACAGTTGTTGTCCATCTTTGTATGGCGGACATGGTAAACTCCCACATTTGGCCATAACGGTGTAAAACACCTTGCCGTTTTCATTAGCGCTACTATGATCCAACACGTCTGGATGCCGGTCCAAACACACAAACTGTGAGGCTGCCGAATCGCGTGTATCGCCGCTAGATAAAAACCCCGAGTACTCGGTCTTCCATCCGCTGTAGCAATGTTCTCTACTAGCTAGCATGATGACACTAGTGCTACGTAAGCTTCTGCAGACAGCACACGGAACATCGTCATCATGGATTCCAGAAACAAAATTGCTCTCATATTCTGAACCATACATGAAGCTGAAAGCTGAGGACAGAATATTATGGAAGGTAGGGTCACGTGGTAGACAAACAAACTCTGCAGCTCCTCCTCCCTGGTTATAAAGCGACCCTCCTGTATAACCTACATGTTATAAATACTGATAATACACCTAGAGTATTTCACAATTACAAGTCTAAGAGTATACGATCAGAATAAATTTCTAGTTTAGTTTGGACTTTCAGTTAGGCGTGGCTATTCTCGACGTTACATAATTATAGCTTCTGAAATTTACAAAGCTTTTCTTCACTGTTGAAATATACGTGGAATAGAAATAGCAAATGCCCATTAGTGTATCGAATTACCAACAACATTGTCTCGTCTGGCAAAGAGGTGCATGGAGCTTAAGTCGTCTCATCGTTGTCAACAACAATTTCCTGATATTATTAATTTCTTAACCAATGAGAATCTATTCGCCACATGACAGACGCTAATTACGTACGCCGAGAATGGCACGCCTTACTGAAAATTCAAGCATACAGGAAATGGTTCTATTATGCTGCTCACCCCAATACACTAATTCTGAGTCCGCGTCAGGGCAGGTCTTTCTCCCCCACCGAACGTAAGTAGCACCGCCAACTACTGTAAGAAAAAATCAGCCAGTTTTTTAAGGGATTTTAGATTTCTTTTGGGGATTTAAGTCAAGTAATTTGAAAAGAATAGAAAAAGACCTAAATGGAACTCTAAGTTTCAAAGATTTTCTAAGTAGACAATGTAGAGTTATCTTACATGAGAGCTAGTGTATCAAACTTGATCCAGAAGTTAAAGGTTAGGACAAAATTGATCGTACAATACAGGAAGACATTTTCATTTCTCAGTTTGACAACTTAACGTACTTCCTTCGCCTTTTGGTGGAAAATTAAAAAAACCGTTACCCAACATTTTATGCAACCACCCACCACACACGCACAAAACAGGCCTTTCTAATGATCTTGAGACAATATTTTAATGCAAATTAATTCATTAATGCATGACAATGCTTGCATATTTATGAATGTTATTTTTTGAAGTTCTTGAATACAATCGTGTAAAATTTTTACTGTAAATCTTTATGCAGCTGTGGACCAATCAACTCCCTAGCTGTACAGCTCAACACACTTTTTAACTCACATGGTTTTTCACACAAATTAAAGTCACATCTTTATAATACAAAATTGAGTAACAAGGTAACAAAACATACTTAAAAGTGATTTATAACTGATTGATTTGATTTGATTTTAAATTACGAACTTGAAACATATTTTTCACATAATAATCGATAGAATTTCAATATGCTTATGGATGATAAAATATGACAGTTCCCAAGTGGTTTTTCATGGTTTCGTGTCAAATGCAGTCGTCTTTGTATCCATTCTTTTTAAAGCAGTCCTTTGCCTTGCCTAGACACAAAAACAGTGCAGTTCATGTAACTTATGTATTTGCAAGATGATAACAGTATTCCTCAGCTGTTCGACTGTTTTCCATGTTCAAAAGCTGGCATTCTTTCGGGGGTTCTTTCTGAAATTTTGCATCATGAAAGATATGTCCAACCGCAAATTTTTTAAAGTTTCACACCTTAAATATAAAATAGTTTTCTTTCCAATAAAAACAATTTGCTATTTTTAAAGATAAACAGTACTTTATTATTCTATCTTTTGCATGTTTTCTTTATACAACATTGTTATTTTTCGGCGATCCATTTCGACAAAACCAAGACGAGTACGAAAGAAGTACTTAGAAAAATACTCATCTAAAAAAGTCAGTTTGGAAATTTCTAATTCATAGTATCAAAGAAAACTCAATTGATTTAATTTGTAAATACTTATTGCAGAATCATATATATATATATATATATATATATATATATATATATATATATATATATATATATATATATATATATATATATATATATATATATATATATAATATATATATATAAAACATCATACCCTTACTAATTAAGTTCCCTTTAAAACATCGACGTTGAATACTTCGATAATGATTCATTAGCATATATACCTTTGACATTAGATATTTATTACATATTAGGGTTATAAATATATGTGTCGTGGTTAAGTTCGATTATTTTAAGTTTTTTTTTGCAAGAATAATGTGACCTTAATTTGTGCTATAAATCATGTGTCATAGATTGTTATACCCGTGGAGAACCTTAAGACTGTCGAGGTCATTATGGACATTCTTATCCTCTAATATTTCCATTTCTATTTTTTTTCTCTGTGATAACTCTTTGAAAGTTAGCGGAGTTGATTTCTTGATAATTCTACCGGAATGTAAATAAGCCAGGTCGATAGGTCAGGAGCAAAGGAGGCCTAATATGCATGCAAATCTCGTGCTGCTGCCTTTTTATTTGACGTCAGTGGGCGAGAACTATTGAAATTGGCATCGGAGTCCTCGTGTAATTTAAATCGATGTCTACATTTTTAAAATCTAAATCTACAATTTTATTTCACAATGAAATGGAAATATAAGGAATCACTATCTAGTTAGTAAAGTATGCCAGGGGCATCAACGATAATGGGAAACATGGGATAATTTATGCATAACAGGCTTCACCCGTTTTGCAAATTTTCCCATGTTTCCCACTATCGTTGATGCCCTGGCATACTATACTAACAAGACAGTGATTCCTTAAATAATAATAACAGGAAAAAGTTTTCCAATAAATGTTTTATGAACAAATGTAAGTTGTAGATCTATTGGCAGATGGTATCATGTGTAATAGAATAATTATTATTTAGAGGGATAAACATTACATGATTTATCCCTCTGAACAATAATTATTCTATTACACATGATACCATCTGCCAATATTTCTACAGTTTACAAACATAAATAATCGATTTATAATGGGATATCTATCTGTTATTAGAAAAAAAATCATCTCAAATAATTTTATCCATCAAATTCATATAAAAACCATTAGACCTCAATTCATATGACCACACCTTTAGAATTGTTGACCTTCAAAGTCTCCACTTCTCTAGTCAAAGTTTGGATTTTGGAATCCATTTCCGAGTTTGACGTTGCCAAAGTTTGAATTTTAGATTCCATTTGGGCCTTTGATGTTGTAAAAGTTTGGATTTTGGAATCCATTTCCGCGTTTGATGTTGTCAGAGTTTGGATTTTAGATTCCATTTCCGCCTTTGTGGTCATCAATGACTGGATTTTAGATTCCATTGCCAGAAACCTGCTTTCGAGGAATTGTGGGTCATTAATGAGTAGCCGTTTCTGTTCCATTGACACTGTGCAAAATAGAAGAGTGGACACGACGCCAAAGAAAACGAAAAATCTCCTCATAATTCTGTTTTTCCAAAGAATGTCGCAATACTGTCCTTATCTTATCAGTCCAAAGTGCACATAAATATTATTGCATGTCAATGGATAATTTATATAGTTATGAACAAGTAATAAAAAGGATAAAAAAAATACCGTTTATTATAAACCTCCAAAACATTTACCTTATGTGATTATGACAGAACAGGAGCCCCTCAAAACAGAGGTTAGACCAGGGTCCAAAGAGGAGTAAGAATCCTCTGGAAGCACTGCTGTAAGCTGTGTATATTTTTAATCTCGTAAACGTAGTTATTAAAATAAGTATGAAAGCAATCTTAATAATTTGTATGTTGAATAAAGAATTGATTTGTCAACATTGGGAATCAAAGCCACCTATGTCTGCTTACTGTAACAGTATGTGTGAATTATGTGTGCACCCCACTGTAGTGCATATTATCAAACAAAAACTATTATTAGGTATTTTGTTTGATACGCGTGAGATTTTGGTTCAAAACACCCCTAACTCCCCACAAATTTTCATGAACTTAGTCTCTTGAGAATATAGCCTGCCCTTTGGTAAAGAAGAAGGTACAGTTTGAGCTTTATTGTGTCCTACAAATTTAATGTTCTTAAAAAGTTATGAAATGTTATCAAATTGGCTTTAACAATAGTTGAGTAAATGAATATGATAAATCATTAAAGAATATGGCATTAAGGAGGACCTTTTCTGGAAATATGACGTCAGTAATTTGGTACATTTTTAAGTTTAATGCAGAAAAGCCTCAAAATGAATAATTTCTGTTCTAATTTTCCCTTGGAAAATAGTGTCTGCCACCGTCTCCCACTTTAATTTTTGGATATATTATGTAAACTGCCATCTTTCTGGGCGACGGTGGCAGAGTATGTTTTCAGAAAGAAAATTTCACTGAAAATTGATGTCTTCTGCAACTTGTTAAGAAAATACGGGAAAATGCAGAAGTTAATGACGTCACAATTAGCATTTAGGAGCTCATATGAGGAAAACGATTTGTGTATTCTTACTGCAGGGAATTCCTATGATTAAGAAAGAATGAATTTTGATTTCTTATATCACTTTCATATTTTAGAAAAATATAGGGCTTGGTCTGTATTGAGACTGTACCCTGTTCTTTCATGTTCGATACATAATGACCTTGTTGTTTGGCAAGAGTGCCAAGTTGTAGCTACTAACAAGATCATTAAAGTAGAAGAATTAAAGAGTAGTAAAACTATGTTTGTAATAAAATTGGAAGGCTTTATACATGTAGACTGATGAAAACGTAACAGCATTAGGAGTAGAAGTAAGAACGGAAAGAAAGTTGTTCAGCCTTCAACCTAGTTTTTCAAGACATAAAGACAGTTTGAACAGTGGCAATAGATGGGCAAGAAAATAAAACAACAAGTTGGAAAGCTTACAAACAAGATATGCAAAACTATGATCAAATCTGTGAACAGAATTACGAAAAAGCCGAGAAAAAATCGAGATAAAGGATGGCACACTTTGAGACCATCCTCGACATTGACCGCACAGGGAGATTTCTACTTGTTGACGTTGGTTGCAGATCGAAGCTTTATTTTCTGTACAGGCAATGTCGAGAATGTTCTGTGCATTTGGAGCCAATGGTCGCAGGTACTTGACGTTACTTTTTTTCTCAAATAAAAAAATTAAGTTCACCCTAATCATGCGTATATTATTTGGTATAAGGTTAATTTTTTTTATATGTGAGAAAAATAAGTAACGTCAAGAGCCTGTGAAATTAACCCTTCACAACAACCAAACTTAAATTTTTTGGCGCCCATCACTATAAATATCGTGACCAAATTACAGGATGTTGTGCAGATTGTTATTTTGCTTAATATATCCAAATTAGGGACCATCAGACAAGGCTAAATAGCTGCAATAATGTAGCCCTCTCCGATTTTTTTTTTTTGGGGGGGGGGGGGAGGGCTACAACTCCTTAGGATCTCCGTAATGGTGCAATCACAGGAGTCGGCAGTTTTATCAATAAACCAATGTAAACATAACCTATGAGCTTCGCGAGCGTAGCGAGCGAAGCGAAAGGAATGCAACGCGTTTTTGGCGATTTCTACTCTGGCGCTTTATTTGGTTAAATTAACAAACGCATACGACTCAATTCATGTCAGTTGATGTGTCCCACCAGATTTCTGGTGCAGTCTCCCTCTTAATCGCCGTTATAGAGCCCAAAATCTAACCTAAACAACATTTCGAAAAGAATCAGCCACCATGAGGGTTTTCCCGTGACGTCACGATTCGATGTTGAACTGAGTTTGGATTCCCCTACATTTAAGCATTTGAAAAATTAAAAAAAATGTTCAGTGATAGAATTATTTGTGTTTTTTAAATTCTTGAAACAATAATATATCAAAAAAGTCTTTGAAATGAAATAAAACTTACCTAAGTCAATGAACACATTTTGAATAAATCGTGACGTCACAGGAAAACCCTCATGGCGGCTGATTCTTTTCGAAATGTTGTTTATGTCAGATTTTGGGGCAATAATGGCGATTAAGAAGGGGAATGCACCAGAAATCAGGTGGGACACATCAACTGACATGAATTGAGTCGCGCACGTTTGTTATTTTGACCAAATAAAGAACCAGAGCAGAAATCGCCAAAAACGCGTTGCATTCCTGTCGCTACGCTCGCGAAGCTCATAGGTTATGTTTACATTGGTTTATTGATAAAACTGCCGACTCCTGTGGTGCAATGCGGCAGTGAATCACTCCCGCACGGATTTCGGCTCAAATTATATCAGTAAACGGCTATTTTATCAACATCTCTTACCTGGACTCCAAAAATGTAATTGCGTAAGACATAAATCGATCCAAAAATATTCACAACGATCCATATATCGGTTATTTTTCGTGTATGTCAACATCACAACTTGAATTTATCCGCCATGTATACTGACCTTGATAGATTTTATTTTGGGACAGCCAATGAGAATTTAGAATCTATAGGAGCGGATCTTTGAGGAATTCCTTATTTTAAGCATACCGGGTACATATCGCTGTTTGCATAAAAATAACACTTGAAATGGTTTTATTTATCGATGTTTTTGTGATACATTTCAGCTCAGTCGTCTATAAACATTTGACATTTGCTTTATTTAGTTGTTCTAAATTCCAAGCGAAAGTCCCAGTACGTCACGCGTGAACTGCTATGGCTGCTGAATATTGCCACTGGTAATGACGCAGATTTATTTTACACGGTTTTCGAGTTTAACAGGCTATGTTGTTGACAGTGAATAAAAATTCCGTCTCATAAGAAGTAAGTTGAATGTAAAAATAATTTATTTTGGCTTCAATCGCCGTATTTAATAAATATATTTGCACCTTTACGGAGATGCGATGGAATTGTAGCCCTCTCCAGAAAACATCAGGTAAAAAAAAATCGGAGAGGGCTACAGTATTGCAGCTAAAGGCTAAACAGTTTTTAACATCTCTTGTAATTTTGAGTAATTTTTTATTTTATTAGAATCACATAATATATTTTTGTGGGATTACAAACACAGTGAAAGGAATTGATGATATGCATAAAAAATTAAATATATATGGAATTTATGTATATAAGTAAATAAGTTGGTCGTTGATCGACTTAGGGTGAACTAGTCGCGGAAGAAGAAGCAGCTTTCTCCATGCCACCCATAGTAGAACCCATAGATAAACTTGGAAGCAGGAAGGACAAGTCTGTCATCGGCATCTGAGGTGCGGGTTGAAACAGACTCTGCACCAAGAGGAGATGCAGTAAGTTGTCCGTTGGTAAGATGTCCAATCCATTACCTCCCAGCAACATCATGATAGGAAGGTTGGAGTAAAGATTCTGCGATGATCGTCCTCCCATCACTTTATTAAAATAAAAAAAAATACGTATAGTAAGGGAATAATACTGTTTTAAAAAATCAATATCAAATGAATTCAGGCTCAACAATTTAAGGAATTCTGTATATTTGATGTAGCAATTCTACAGAAAGCAGAAGCCGTGCTCAGTGATGGACTTTGTTTCACGTTCTTATCGCTACATAGAAACATTTTATTTTATAACGTATTTAGTTAACTTTCCTATAGATGTATAATGTATTTCTTACTTCTTGACATCATGAGAGCCATTGCGTATGGACTGTCCATCAAATCTACAAAAACATATTTTTTTAAACAGATGTTGTTTGTCAGTTACTAGTACTAGTATATTGTTGCGAACTCCAGACCAATCTTCTAGTTAAGACTGATTTGTGTTCTTTGAATAAAGTGGTAATCAGGAAGGGTGTTAAATTACTTCGTGGTACCTTTACTGAATTTCGATTGCTATGGATTTTTAACAAGCACGTTAAACAAGATCATATTTTAAAATTAAAAAAAATAGCAGAAAGATGCTCTCTCTAATTTGAACATGGTTCATTTATACATTGTATTTACTTTAAAAGTATACTAGTATCACATTGAAATTGAATTTGTTTGAAAAATACATTTTCTTTCCTAAAATTTTGGGATTTTTTTGTAATTAAGACATATTTTCTAACCACTAGAGAAGAGACTTGCAGGGAGCCCAGGCTGACTGAGTCCTTCACTCTGACCCATCTTAGAACGCCTTGATGATCTGGAACTCTGTCCCCAGCACAGGGCCACACAACACAACACGAGGAGTGTGATGGTCAGCTTCATCTTACTAATGTAAGGTATCAAAACGGGCATCTGAGAAGAAAATGGGTAAGTTTTATGTGAAGTCATATGAACTCATCGCGAGTCGTTCTTTAACAAAAATGTGTATATTGTTTAAATTAAAAGAATACATGTATGGTATTGTTTGTGTTTATATCATCAACTTTATAGTGATTATCATTTCTGTCTCTTAAGCTTGATGTTTCATATTGGGATAGATTCAAAGAAAATTGTTTTCATAATTATTTGTTCTTACGATAAATTCAATAGCATAAGTAATAAAACAATTTTTTACAGTCTTAGCACCAGTTATGATAGTCTCTTCAGCAAATTAAAGAACACTGTATTCTTAGCATATATGACTTTAATTTTCTCTGCATTTAATTCTATACAGGACATACTTTGGTTACACCATAAGTCTTACACTTGGTTCAAATCTTAGATAACGTAACCTTGAATTTGACATTTGCTTTATTTACACAAAAAATCATCATTTACAAGACCATAAATATTTATATTATAATGGTTCAGGAAACCATTTGTTATACCAGGTATTTAGTAGTGTTCTGATGCAATATGGTTTCTTAACTTATATATCTTTAGTGGAGGTTTTTTACTTAAAAGGTTGGTTTAGATTAAATAATTAAATACTCTAAAGGTACATCGGGAAGATTTGAGTCCAAGGGTTCAACATTTTTATGTCCTTAATTACAATGTATATATTATCAAGTATAAAAAGAATTCTTCATTCTATTTGAATTTTTGTGAGTAGGAAAGAAGGCCTTAGTAAAATTTAACTCAAATCAGTAATTTGGATGACGGAAATACTAAGATTGAGAACGTTCTAAGAATTTCAAATTAAATATAACATTATAAAATTAACAAGAATGACATGTTGCAAAGGAGGAGAATACTTTACTTTTAATTTTTTCAAATGTGTGTAGCTATTCGAAATTTGCTTGCATGGTGCATTTTTAAAAAATCGATTCTTAAAAATAATTTTTTTTCCCCTTTTAAGTCTGATATTTGACATGAAAAAAAGCGATCGGTATGTAACCCCGAGAAAAAAAAATACATAGGTTGTGTCTATATTATCTATATATAGCTAGTTAAAAAGTTCTTAATTCCAACGTATACTTTTAAAAAAAATATTTCAATTTCATATTTCTGCTGTGACTTGCTTAAGGTTTAAGCTATCAATAAAATAATTGCATTTTAATTTACATAAAACATTCCTTCTTAAACAATCCGTAAGTCAATCCTAACTAAGCTTTTATTTTCTTCATCAATCTACAGGTAACAAAGGTGATGAATAAATGTCAATGATTGAGAAAAATGAAACCCTTGTTTCAGTCAAAAGTCATATTAGATTTTCAAATTATTCAGTTATTTAACTCTGAAAAACAAAGTAAATAAAAGTCTTACCTAATGAAAATGGAGGAAAAATAACCCGTAAATGTGAGTTAGTGTGTGTATATATGTATGTGTATGGGTAAGAGATCTAACGATACAAAAGTGTTAATGATAAATTTGTAATTGTCATACATGTCAACTTATATGTAGTCCAACCCACAATGCACCGAGTAATTTATCCCCTAACTAGATACACTGTTATAATAATGAGTTAATTTATGTGCATCAAAAGAATCCAGGAATGTACATTGTAAATGGAAAATGATGGTAGCTCAGATAAAGTAAAATGTGGGCTTTTTTTTCCTAATACAAAGTGTCATGAAATACTTTTTGTTTTAAACCCATGTATGAAATATATGGGGATATCGAACAGTATTCAAGCTCAAAAATCCATTCCAACAATACAAATCAGGAGCAGAGCAAACACTGATCTCTAAAATATTTGAAGTGGGATCAGTTGCCATGAAGGAGTGATCATCTCAAGACGACCGGCATCCTCACAATGTCAAGTTTGTGTGGAATTACAAAATTACAAAACTTTGACATTGTGAGAATGGCCAACCAGTCATAAACGCCCTTTGCTCCTTGACATGATCTGAAAATAACTGAAAAAAAAATCATCGACAATTCAGTGTGTGTATAATGGCCTAACAAATAGTATGAGAAACGCCCGTCAACATTTGATTTATTGATTGATTGTATTTGCTGACAAGTAGGTTGTGTCGACCATAAAACGTACGAAATGAGATCTTAAACAAGACTGTTAAAAAATTAAGTTTCATCGACTTGTTTGTCATTAACTTATCTTGTTTTAGAAATTGTCTGTACGTAGTGCATGCTTTTGCATTTCAGATATAAATCCTATATGCAGGTAATAAGGGTATATTGCTGCTTAAAGAAGGCATGTTGTGTGTGGGTTTTTTTTGGAGGTTCACTTGAAAAAACGTATTTTTCAAATGCTGAAGATGGTTATCTGCAATAAGAACATATCCTTTATTTTATTTTTTTACTTTTCACTTCTTTAACTTTTGCAATCAATGTACAAACGTAAAACACTCCTAAAACACTTTAGTTTGGTTACTTTGAAAATATCATTTGAAAGTTACATGTAGCAGTACTTCATTCATGTTTCCTGTAAAGTTCATTTCTCAATCATTTCAGTTATCAAAGCAAAAATATGCTAAGAATGGTCATTTTCCGACTAATTTTTAATGTTGATTATCAAGTTTTGGCAAGATCTTATTTTCCCCTGAAAATTGTTATCATTTTATTAGCGAGGCAAAATAAAATTTAAATTTTTTGAACTGTGTTTGACTGTTAATGGATATTACCTCAAATAACACAAATACATCTATCCACGATACTAACTTTTCTGTGAGTAGAAAATCTCTCCAAAAAATGCAATAATAAAATCTCTTACAGAACAAACACCGTAGTAACGCTATCATATAAATTAAATAAATCATATTCCCCGTTTATTCTTTTTCCATTTTTATGCCTAATTTCTTTCTTTTTTTTTTGACAGTAGGCAAGGAATATTACTTTAAACTTTCAAAGAGATTGGGTCAAAAAGAGCCATTAAAAATGAATTTTTAATAAATGACCTTTTTTCAAATTCCATGGCAACAGTGGCCATTTTGAAAAAAAATAAGGAAAGATTGCAGACTTTTACTTAGTGATCTTTATGACAGTGGAATTTTTTTTTAAGATTGATAAAGCCCCAGTTGCAATTTAAGGACATAGGCAAGGTACCTTACCTACTGATAATTTTTCAAGATATTCTAAATTCAAACTTATAATACCATTACATGTTCTTAGACAAAAAATCAGCATGCGTTACCAGGGGTTTTGAAACGATATCAAATTTTGAAAAGTTTTGCATTATTCAAAGAAAAATGTACAAAAATTAGAAAATAAAAATTCAAGATTTTTTTCACCAAAAATTGTTTTAGAAGAGGTGTACAAATCCGTATATAGATATTAAAAATATTGCACACAGGTCCTTCATTTAGTGGAACTCTTCAACTCCAGGGCAGAACCCAATAAACAAAGTTCAAATTACGATGCATATGACCTTAATTGCAAGTTTGTTTAATGTTGACTTTTTGAACATGCAGGAAAAGACCTGCTTAAAAATATATCTATTACATTATCGGAAAACTATTATTCTTAGATACAATACCTGAGTATTCCATAGCCTTACAAAAACACGTTTAGTAAAGCTCTGTAATTTTTTTTTATTAAGAAACTATCAGACTGGTGGTTTGTTTCCTTACATTCCTTTTCCATTATCTTTTCTGATACCTGTACTTTTAGTTGATGACAATAAAACAAGAAATTATCCGTTTTTGACAATTTTTAGATAAAAAAGTATTTAGAGTCGCTTATGTAATGTGTCGATCTGAAACCCTTACAATTTAAAGGGACATGGACAAGTTTCAACTGAATTTTTTCAAACCTATTTTAATGTTTACAAATCCTAACTAAGGCAATTCTAATGATCAGCAAAAATTTGAACATTAATCGTTGATTTACAAAGGAGATACATGTACAAAGCTTAAAATTCTTCATAATGTAAAAAGACTCATGCCTTGTTTTTGTTAACATATAGAAAATATAATTTACAACAATACGAGAATCAGCAAACATATAATTGAATATCTAACTTAACTCTGTAAACAAAAACATGGCATTGGCCCTGTTTACAAAAAAAAGTTTAGAGCTCTAAATCTATCTTATATTTCGACAACTGAAATTCAAATTTTTGATGATCATTAGAAAACCCTTAGTTAAATATTTTTTAACATTAAAAATGGAAAAATAAATTTGAAAACTTTTAGCTGAAACTGTGTCCATGTCTCTTTAACTTATATATCTTGAATTCTATCGAAATGTTGAAGAATGACTTCTTTGTGTTGATGTCATTGGAAAAAATCTATAGAAATGCTTTTCAAAAGTGATGGAAACTGGAGTTTTTTATTATTTATTTCAAAATCTTGCATATTATTTTTCATAATTAACAAGATTCACATATCATAAAATCTCATACATGTAACAATGTACAAGAGTTACAAAAAAATTATAACAAACAACAATGAAATTATGTGCGTCGTTGTAGATCTTCTTAGGAGACATTTAACCTTGAGTGGCCTTGGCCCCTCTTCCTCCAGCAGCTCCACCAGGAGCGCCACCCATCATCCGCCTCAGCATCATCATCTGCATCAAATCATCCATGGGTAACATATCCCCACCTCCCAGCATCATCAGACTGAGTAAGTTATTACCTCCAAACATTCCCCCTCCTGGACCCATTACTGTGGATAAATCAGGACAAATATAGTGGATAAATCAGGACAAATATAGGGGTATATGCATGAATTTTTGCAGGTTTGTTGAATATCTAGTTCTTATAAAGCTTTTAAAACATATCACTATCGAACAGCAAATAAAGCCTCCTTGACTAAAGTAAGAGGTCTTAAAGCATATATATATATGTAGTCATTTTAAAAAGGTATCTAAATAAATATATTTTTAAAAATGATCTATTTTTATTCGTAATATATTGACAACATTTTTATTTTGCAGTTATTTCAACATATATGTTTATTCGAAAAATAGAGATAATGGATCTGTATACCAGAAATTTTCATTATTAAATGTTTCCCATAAAGCTCCACAGTATAAGTTTACTGTGCTCACAAGCAAAATTCAAATTTGCTTTGACAAAACATGCATGTACATGTACGAGTATGACTACATTAAAATAAAAAAATAAACAAAAAAAAAAGGATGCTTTATTGTATATAAGGGGGACTTGATTATTAAAAGATACAGTTTACTTACATGACTTCATCATCATATAGTTCATCATAGTTTCTGAAAAAAAAAATTAAAATTACTTAAACTTAAAATTTATATGCTATGAATGGTACAGCATAAAACTTGCAAAAAAAAAAACAAACTTCAGTATCTGTTTATTTGAATACATGTTTCTTTCTGAATGAAATCTTTGATTTATAAAAACCAGGGAGGTAGCAAATTTTGGAAGACGACGAACTCTTCATTGTACATATTTGCCTGCTATATGTCAAAAAGTAAATATTTTCAGGTATATAAATCAATCTTTTTTTTAAATCTAAAACAAACTTAACCCCACCATGGATTGTGACCATGCCTATAGTGGGTACATGTAAATAACCAGCTGGTACGTGTACCCCAGGGGAAAAGAGTAGAATACCGGTATTGCAAATAATTTTAACTTCCTTGATTTAGTACCAATACAGGTATCAGTCTATATATACGTACCGATTCAGGATCTACTTGCTGATGAATTATTATATATTTACATGTACATGAATTATATATAAGTACAGGTATTATTATAGAAGACCAAAGAGTTGGATAACAACCTGACATTCCAGATGATGGCTGTTGTCTTGTTGCTCCTCCCCTGGATCTTGCTCTCTGGCCACACACACAACCAATCATTAAAAGAGCAGCAAAAACAGCCAGAGAAGTCTTCATTTTTATCTGAAATCAACACCCAAAATCAGAGTAATGCTGATAGATAAGGTTTATTGAGATTTTATAAAATATCAAATATTTGCATTTTATGTGTTCTTTCAAAAAATCCAACTTTTTATCTTCAAATCAAAGTAATTTACAATTGCAAGTTACAAAAGTTGAATACATGTGCAGTGTCATGTAAAATTACAATTATATCACATTGCTTTGAATATTAATATTGTGTGAGATGACTTTAAAATTCTCGAAGTATAGTTTCTCTTAAGAATGTTTACATGTTTTTCAGACAAACTCTTTGAGACGTGGATGTCAGCAAACGGGAATCAGGCTTATTATCATTAATGATCTTGCTTCAAATCATGGTAATCAGATGTCCAAAAGAAATTAAACGAGCATGAAATTTAAAGCATGCATTTTATCTTTTTTGTAGTGAATACAGGTAAGAGTTGTGGCTCAGAGTTTTTAAATGAAAGATTTGTTCGAATATACGCTAGGTTTGTATTGTAAAATTGCAAGAATAAAACATTTGAAATAAGATAGTAGGACATAAGAAAACCATTACGACATTTGCATGTGTATAGGCTTTCTTCTTTACATTAATTTTTGAAATATGTTTGACTTTGTCATACTTTTACATTGTTGAACTTCAGAAGTAACCATGATTTGTTTTGCAAAAGTGACTTTTTATCGAAATAAAATGGTGCTTTATAAATACAACAGAACTACTTCCCACAAAACAAGAAACAAATCGTTCATAAATTCATATATCTATCGTGTATCAAAAGAATGGATATGAACTTCGCCACAAAAAGTAATAAACAGATTGTTCATAAATTCATATTTTTATCGTGCATCAAAAGAAATGATATACTAGTAAACGTCCCCACAGAATGCTCAAAATGATAAACAAATCGTTCATAAATCCATATATTTATCGTGCATCAAAAGAATGGATGTGACGACATTCTGACAGTAAGATGACATGCTTGTCTCTCATCTGTACGTCACACAAATCTGTTCATTTATTCTCATGCCTATTTCCTAGAATGCTCACGTTTATTTTCATAAATAATATTTTGAATCTGAGAGAGAAAGAAGATAATTAACACAACTTCCCTGGTTCCACTGTCTCAAATTTTAGATGAAGAATAGACTTGTTCTAAATAGTTAATGCTTTATTTATATAAAATCGGCATTTCTTAGTATATCTTGCTTATTTTAATATTTTTTTTAGATGTTCTTATCAAAAGAATTCAAAAAGTTTGTTGATACTTGTTCTAAATAGTTAATGCTTTATGTATATATAATAGGCATTTTTTAGTATATCTTGTTTATTTTAATATTTTTTAGATGATCTTATCATAAGAATTCAAAAAGTTTTTTGAAAAAAGCATTGAAAAAAATATACTGATTTGAATCTAGAGTCAGTGTATTAAATTTAAAAACGTTGTCAAAATTGAAAAGAACCCATACATTCGCCGTTACTTCTCTTTCTTTTGTCTATTTGAAAAGCACAATATCGAAAACATTTGAAGGTAAAATAACACCTTAACCAAAATATACGGACATTCCAGATACTAGTATATCTCAATAATTTATCATAAAATTTATTATTGCATTCATTACTTTTTCCTATAGAGAGAAAAATTTTAACATTTCAAGAGTAAAAGTGGATCAATGACAAAAAAACCCCCTATAAAATGCTTTTAGCAAAATGAATTCAAAGCTGCTAAACATCCTACAATTAAATTTGATACACAGAATTAAATTTTAAATCTCCATAGACGCATGTTCCCTTTAGACTCGTTTGAACATAGTCCGAAGAAAAGATGTATGTTCTCAAAATTGCCAGTATCTAGATTAATTGTTTCAAAATTTTGTTTTAAAAAGCAGTCAGAATTATTCATCATTGTAAAAACTTAAATTTTTAACTGAAAAAGTAAATTTTAAATATTTACCTGTTTAGTATAATACAACTATGTAGGTCAGTTTTCAATCCTTTCTGATTTGACATATGATATGCACTTAGGTATATAAATAATATAGCCCTGCAATTAATATGTGGAGGTATATTTTTATTTATCATTTATTACATCCTCTTGTCCGCTGTTTTGACACAAATCGCCCCGCTGTCAGGCGCGTGACGGATAACTATTCCCTCAACATGCGCAGGTCCAGTTCAATAGGCCTGGGCCGTATTGGCGGGTTCTCCCTTTATTGGTGTGTGTGTATATATATTGTACCGTGAAGGTTACCTGCTCGTACTACTGATGGTAGTAGTACATCAAACAATAGACAGGATTCTTCACACTTCAGGCCGGTGTACAACAAATAACCACAACGTAGAAAAAATATGCACGTCTATAATGTAGAGGTTTGCTATAAAAATTAATATAACATTTTCTAAGAAAAATGACCAGAGAAAAACAAAATATAAACATGTTGCATAATGAGATACAAGTATATATAATAAATACAGGGTCATCTGTAAGGTTGCACTACGCATAAAAAAGTTGTTATCTAGTATCGGGGCTCCGGACCAACATACACATATTAACAAATTAATATAATATGTATAATAAAATCAAAATTATATTATACATTACAAGAATGATGCACAAAATACATGTAATTTTTAAACTAGAGAACCAAAATAGCAACAATAAAAGGATTATTATACGTTAAATTGATAGGTTGAATTCAAAATTTTGCTTATCAAAAATCTCAAAGTTGTTCTCTCTCTCGCTGACAAAATTGATGTACATCGAATTAATGACAGCATAAATTTAATTCAAGGGTGTTAGATAAGTCAATTATTGTGTATATTAGTAATAAGAAAATTGATTCATATGCAATTAAAACTAGAGGTACTGTGAGCATTGAGCTCACGAAATGATATACCCCCGCCTTCCAAATGATTACAAAGGCAAAGTCCATGTTTGGCTCTTGGGAGGAGTAGCTACGGATAAGAGGTGGACATCTTTCAATATTATAGAAAGAATGGCATTGTACATGTTTTTACTATGGGAAACCCATAACACGTGACGGATCAAAAGTAAATTAAAAGGTGCAAAATGGCACTTTATAACAAAAAAAAAACATTTTTGATTTATTGGTACAAGAGGAGTTGCGATTAAGGGATGGGTACCTCAAAGCGTACATGTATAAGGCTGACGGATGGACATCCCGATCACTATATACCCACTTACTTTTCAAGTGGGAGTATAATGAACAGTATTTCAAATATTATGTTTATTGTTTGCAACATAAAAATATTGCTCTCTTTCATTATATTTAGGCGTTTGTGATTTCAGTACACATGTATATATTATAAATTTAACCAAAGAGAGAAACAAATACTTGCACGTGATTCATACCTAGCAACTTAATGGATCAATTTAGAAAATAAGCTAAATAATTTGCAAGAAATTCATATCGATTGCTGTAAGCATTAAATGGATTGATTATGCTCTTGCAAATTGTTATATTCATTATATCCTTGCTTAAAAAGTGGGAGAGTATAAAGTGATTGGGATGTCCTTCTGCTTGCTAAGCTTTGGAGTACCCATCTCTTATCCGCAACTCCTCTTTTACCACTAAATGGAATTTAATGGTACTTTCACAGAATCTGTTACAAATTGCCATTGCGCACCTCCAATTTTACTTTTTGATCGGACACATATTTTGGGTATCCCAAAGCAACATGGACATTGCCCTTCTGTCTATGAAATTGAATTATAACCATCTCTTATCCGCAACTCCTCCAAAACCACTGAATAAAATTTAATGATACGTTTACAGATTCTTTATTACTTTGCCACTATACCCATATGGGAGGTGGGAAGGGGTATCTTATAGTGAGCTTATTGCTCACGGGGCCTCTAGTTTATTTGAGCATATGCATGCACGGATATATAGTGGGATCGGGACCCCTCTCTCCGCTAGAATTTGCAGTTATTAAGTGCATTTACTAAACCAAGTAAAGGGACCTTGGACACCCCCCCCAATATAAATGAAATTGCTCATTTTCTTTTCTTTTTTATGCTTTTGATTCTTAAATTCTTAATGTTAATTCATTAAATCATCATGTTATTGAATATTATATAAAGAACAAGCGAGAAAAAATCACTGCAAGGTTTATAAAAGTAAATCTATCAAACAAAATTTTCATTTTTGTAATACACTGTAGTTTTACAAAATTGTCATTTAATAATAAATGACCTTTTTCAACTTCAAACTGTGTTGTGTTGTTATCAGATAGTGTACTTGTAATATCACATCAAACAGAGCAACCTTTAGTGCGAGTATCAGGAAGATGGGCATAAATGTTAACGTTTTCATGGCTGAAATTTAAGGGGTTGCAACTAGAAAATGGGGACTTAATTCCGATTTTCTTTACATTTGAATCTTAATACACTCTGCACATCAGTTTTATTTTTTCAACCTTGGATGTTTTTTTTATCATTCCCTTTTCAATAAAATGACTTTCATGTATTTTCATATAATAACTACCCGGTATTCAGTAAATAAAAAAAAACTTAAAATGTTATGAGACACATTTATTATTTGAAGATCCTTGCACTTCAATATTATACAATTTAACCAGTACAAAATTATATTATGGGCAATCAAGTTGTTGAGATAAATATAACTTGTACATGTATCATTACATATACATGTACAACAGAAAAATAACAGGCTCTACTTACATTCTTTTTTAAAGCAGATCCTGTTGAATTTCTTTAGTGTAAGAGTTATATTGGACAAATAAATATTCTCATAATAATGATGATGATAGACTGTCAGATGATACTGTAAATGTGTTCATTTTCAAAACATTATGAGGACTTATCTTAGAACTTTAGTAACAATAATGATATATTGTTTGTGTCAGTCTTCTTAAACATCTCATTTAAACACTACTGTGTGCAGCATTGCACCTAAGCACTGGACAATATTTGTTGTCATCAACACATCCACATGTTCTTCAAGATGACGTTTTGGGTCCTGAAAAAATTAAATATGTAAAATTTAAGACACGATGCATTCATAGGAATAATTAAAGTTACACATATTTATTCAAATAAAACCCTTAGGCTTATACAGTGTATAATGTTAGCTCATCTTATGGACATTTTTTTTTGCCGGGGAGGGGTGGCTGGGTAAAAAAGCATCCTTATTATTACATGATTGTAATTTTGATATTTACCAATTTTCCAACGTTTTTAATTGCTAGTTGTTCCTGAGTCATTGTTTCCTCTTCTTCCAGGGCCTAAGAAAAACAGGAATAAAGAATTAAATACATGAATGAATTTTTTGCATATTTATAGAGAAAAAAATGTGCTGAAATGCCAAAATAAACAATTTATTTCTGAAGTTTTGCAAATCTGTTACATGTTTCTGCAGTATTGTGCATTTGTTATATGCTATTACATAATAATGTATGTATGAGATTTGAACATATTCCTACTGTGTTTAAACGAAATAATTGCAATCTACTAAAACTTCATAACATAGAATGAATTCATATTGTTTTGAGATTTCATAAATACCAACCTTGTGGTAATTTTTGGCCAGTTCTAGCATTTCTTTGACAGTCTTTTCGTTATTGGTGCAGTGTGTTTTGTAATCTTCAAGAGATAACCCATCAACCCAGCTTTTCTTGTGGAGATTCAGCAACATCTTCAAGAGTAAGAAATTTGAATCAATAAGTTCATATACGATAAAGATACAAAAATTGTTTGACCACTAACAAACTGATAATTGAAAAGTTGATATAAATATAACTTTAATATGCAGTTTGAAAATTAAATAGTTTAAAGGGTTGAAAATAACAAGAATAGATTTAAAATGCTTTTATAAGACATATCATAAAGGGCAACATGTTCCTGTAAATAACTTTGCATAAAATATCCATCATAAACAATAAAAGTCCTATGCTCTATCTACTTTAGATACTTTATTGTAAAACTCCTTTAACTTATCTCACAGTTTAACATAAGTTTAAAACTAAACTGATACCTTCTGTTCCAATTCATTTTTCCTGTAATTGATAGCTATGGAATAATAGTGTCTGTTTAGTCCATGTATTAATGCCTGCAAGTAAAACATGAAAATATACCAAGAAGTCTAAATGTACAAAAATTGGTTTCAATATTATGAACAGTCAAGACTTTGATGTAAATTCAATATCTACATTAACAAACACATGTATGTAGTAAAACATGCTTAGACGTCGCGCATAGTGTTGGGGTTTGAAATTGCGTAACTTGTAACACTGTAAATGACGGGCGTTAGTATTTTTGGTCATTTTATCGTTTTGGCTACATGGATTTTTCTGCCAATTTGTACGATGCTTTTCTAATGTCTGGTGATGATGTCACACAATTTTCATTAATAATTTTCTAATTTACTGGCCAATTTCCACTGTTAGTAAAATTGAAAGGGTTCTGTAATATGCCGTGATCTTGTCAAGTAACAAGAAAAGATAGAATATTTGGTAAAGATTTTTTGATATACAACATGTTCTTTTCGTAAAACTAAGTTGATAAATGAAATGTGCAAATCAAGAAGTAGTCAAATGTTTCTTTTAAAAAAAATTAAGCTAGTAGTAGGAAAGATTAATAGAGCAATTTTGATGTCTAGTCGATTTTGTTACTACGACACAAATATGCGTATGATGGTATTTAAGCGGGCGTATAGCACCAATATTAGCTGTATTCTCTATTTACTGTAAAACTTGTAACAAATAAAATCTTATTTTTAAAATGTGCAAATAAACAAAATTTTGTATATTAAGAAACACTAAAAAGTAAGACATTTTTAAGAAAACAGGAGCAAAAATTGGATGTCTAGTCTGATTTGTTACCCCTTTAATTTTTGACGTTTTTATGCTTAAACGACGTATGCAATAACATCAGAAAAGTATATTTTGACGTTACAAAATCAGCCTCAATTCTGTGCGCGACGTCTTATAGCAAAGTGCTAGTAAAGATTTATCTTACTTCCCTTTCAATGTTATCAATTATGTGTGATAAGTGCATGATGCATTATATACAGTAAAACTTGGTTATAACGAAGTCACTGGGTCATACAAAATTACTTCGCTATATCCGTAATTTGTTATATCCATATAGGGAATTTGTTAAATTTATATTTCAGGGGATCCTAAATAACTTCACTATATTCCTGAATTGACTATATCCGTGTTCGTACTAAACGAGTTTTGCTGTACCAGTACATACAAGAAATGAAAATCAATTAACTGCATGTGTGAATTGCTGTAATGGGACTTTCCCCAAATGCAACATACTGGTGAGAAATGTACTAAAAAAGGTAAAATTAATTTATTTTTTCTTAATTTCTTAACAAACCTGTATTGAGGGTTTCTGTAAATGTCCCAGATTTGATGTTGTTTGTCGAGGCTCCTGACCAAGAACCATCATATTGGGATTAATGAGTCGAAAGGCATCTATTACAACCTGAAAAGAGAATAGCATGATACCAGTCATTGTACATGTCTCAAGTATCTTATACAAGCTGAGACTATTTTAATGAGCATTACACCATTAGAATACTAGTATTCATTGAATAGTTTACCTTGCCCTTGACACTTTGGATGGGGTCCACTACCACAGCTACGGCTCTCTCTGACAAAGCCTCGAAGCTCTGCTGGGTGTTTATATCTACCCCTGATAACCAGCAACCAAAGCCAGGGTGAGAATGGTACCAACCAACCACCATCTCTGGGCTACAATAACAATATTAAAACACTAAAGCACACTTAAACACAAAGATGTTGCTGGTATAAACTTGGTAAAGTGTCATCCATCAAAATGTCAAATTCGTCCAGCAAGGAAATCTTCAATATTATCTACCCCGGTACATATTTTACACAAGTTAGATTGGACGACTTATGGAAAAGGTAATATTTATAAGTATTTGTATTGTTTAATTATATTTACCGGCCAGTCTGTTTTAACATGTCCAACATTTTTGCTTGAAACACTGGATCTACAGCTTCAACACTCACACCCTGTAAAATAAAAACAAAATCAAAGTCCTTCATGAGTTTAATGATAATGTATATCTGGGAGACTATAATTCCTGTAACAATGAAATGGGTTTCCTGAAAGGAATTCTTAACTTCCATAATTTTCCAAATAAATATAGTAATACAGGTATTTCCATACATTTTTTTTACACATGCAGGCATAAGAATTGACTTTTTTCTTCCAAAATATACACATATTTTAAATGCATAAAAGTACATACAGTTCCTGACTGTGGCATTGCAAAAACATCGATCACTCGCACTGTATAATCATCAACAAATTCTCCCAACATCAGTCCCATAACCTCCATGGGTACCCCAGCTCGGCCATGCTTCAGCATCTGAAACAATTTAATGAACATTCTTTATTTTTAATTTCCTCAGTTTATTACATGTACTTTTGCTAGAATATGGAGAATGGGCAAACATCTAAAATTCAAAGAAAAAATTTCATATCATTAAAGAAAACCAGAAGTCTCTGTCGAGACTGAAGCTCTACTGGTTTGTACTTATAGCAAAGGAAGAGGAAAGTACTTAAGCAGTTGGGAATTGAAACTTTACACTAGCAAAAAAGAGAATAATGATCCTTGAATAAGTCTCTATGTTCTTAGTGTAGTCTACTTGCATGCCACATTATATTATAATCAGACTAAAACTGTATTTGAAGTAGCATTTTGAGAGTAACAGAAATTGATATCTTTATTAAGCAATGTAATAATGTTCATTGAAGTCAAAACAGATATAAAGAATTATGCACCTTAGTGTAGTCTACTTGTGTGCCAAGTTATATTGAAATCATACCAAAACTGTAGGAGGAGTAGCATTTTGAAAGAATTTCACAGAAATTTCTATTTTTAGTAACAACGCCAACACCATTCGTCGAAATCAAAAACCGATAAACAGAATTATGTATCTTCGTGTAGTCTACTTATATGCCAAGTTATATTGAAATCATACCAAAACTGTAGGAGGAGTAGCATTTTGAAAGAATTTTACAGAAATTTCTATTTTTAGTAACAATGCCAACACCGTTCGTCAAAATCAAAAACCGATAAACAGAATTATGTATCTTAGTGTAGTATACCTGTGTGCCAAGTTATATTGAAATCAGACCAAAACTGTAGGAGAAGTAGCATTTTGAAAGAATTTCACAGAAATTTCTATTTTTAGTAACAACGTCAACACCGTTCGTCAAAATCAAAAACCGATACACAGAATTATGTATCTTAGTGTAGTATACCTGTGTGCCAAGTTATATTGAAATCAGACCAAAACTGTAGGAGGAGTAGCATTTTGAAAGAATTTCACAGAAATTTCTATTTTTAGTAACAACGCCAACACCGTTCGTCGAAATCAAAAACCGATATACAGAATTATGTATCTTAATGTAGTCTACTTGTATGCCAGGTTATATTGAAATCAGACCAAAACTGTAGGAGGAGTAGCATTTTGAATGAATTTCATAGAAATTTCTATTTTTAGTAACAACGCCAACACCGTTCGTTGAAATCAAAAACCGATACACAGAATTATGTATCTTAGTGTAGTCTACTTGTGTGCCAAGTTATATTGAAATCAGACCAAAACTGTAGGAGGAGTAGCATTTTGAAAGAATTTCACAGAAATTTCTATTTTTAGTAACAACGTCAACACCGTTCGTCGAAATAAAAAACCGATATACAAAATTATGTATCTTAGTGTAGTCTACTTATATGCCAAGTTATACTGAAATCAGATCAAAACTGTAGGAGGAGTAGCATTTTGAAAAATTGTTTACAGACAGACAGACAGACGGACAGACGGACGGACGCCGGACGCATTACTATCGCATAAGCTCTTCTGGTCTCTGACCAGTAGAGCTAAAAATGAACCAATTTGTGGAGTTTCGAGATTTTTTGAGTTACCTTTAAAAGAGCTAGAGAGGAGATGTAGACTTGCTCAGCTGTATCCACTGTTGGAGCATCAGTAGGTGGTGCGCCCTGAAAAGGGGAGAAGGCATGGATTAGTTCAACAAAATTGAGATACAGTAAAACTTGTCTAATCCAAATGTTGTATCCAAAATCTTGTCTAATCCAGTCAATGTCTTTGGAACCAGGTATAAATATACAGTACCCAGCTTTGATTTTGATAGGAAAGTCCAGTGAGAACATATTAGTCACAGTTCTGAGATCTCTTGACTTTACTTGAAATTTCTGGATGCCTCTACATTTTTTGTCATTAGGTAATCAAATTGGCATTTTTTGTCTTTAGAAATTAATTGGCACTTAAAATTGGATCATTAAAGTATCCAACCAGAAGTCTCTGTCGAGACTAAAGCTCTACTGGTTTGTACTTATAATAAAGAAAGAGAAAAGTAACAGTAAGGATATAAAACTTTACAAAAGCAATAAATAGAATAATGACAAAAACCGATACACAGAATTATGTACATTAGTGTAGTCTTCTTGTGTGCCAAGTTATATTGAAATCAGACCAAAACTGTAGGAGGAGTAGCATTTTGAATAATTTCCACAAAAATTTCTATTTTTAGTAACAACGACAACACCATTCATCGAAATCAAAAACCGATACACAGAATTATGTATTTTAGTGTAGTCTACTTGTGTGCCAAGTTATACTGAAATCAGTTTAAAACAGTAGGAGGAGTAGCATTTTGAATGATTTTCACAAAAATTTCTATTTTTAGTAACAACGGCAACACCGTTCATCGAAATTAAAAACCAATACACAGAATTATGTATTTTAGTGTAGTCTACTTGTGTGCCAAGTTATATTGAAATCAGACCAAAACTGTAGAAGGAGTAGCATTTTGAATGATTTTCACGAAAATTTCTATTTTTAGTAACAACGACAACACCGTTCATCGAAATTAAAAACCAATACACAGAATTATGTATCTTAGTGTAGTCTACTTGTGTGCCAAGTTATATTGAAATCAGACCAAAACTGTAGGAGGAGTAGCATTTTGAATGATTTTCACGAAAATTTCTATTTTTAGTAACAACGACAACACCATTCATCGAAATCAAAAATCGATACACAGAATTATGTATTTTAGTGTAGTCTACTTGTGTGCCAAGTTATACTGAAATCAGATTAAAACTGTAGGAGGAGTAGCATTTTGAATAATTTTCACAAAAATTTGTATTTTTAGTAACAACGGCAACACCGTTCATTGAAATTAAAATCCGATAAACAGAATTATGTATCTTAGTGTAGTCTACTTGTGTGCCAAGTTATATTGAAATCAGACCAAAAATGTAGGAGGAGTAGCATTTTGAATGATTTTCAAAAAAATTTCTATTTTTAGTAACAACGACAACATCATTCATCGAAATTAAAAACCGATACACAGAATTATGTATCTTAGTGTAGTCTACTTGTGTGCCAAGTTATATTGAAATTCAGTCCAAAACTGTAGGAGGAGTAGCATTTTGAAAAGTTGTTTACAGACGGACAGACAGACAGACGGACGGACGACGGACACATTACTATCGCATAAGCTCTTCTGGTTTCTGACCAGTAGAGCTAAAAACGTCCAGAAGTCAAGTTTTAGCACACAAGTCTAAAAATTTGTCGGCGAGATTGATATTGAAGTAGCACTGCAATTTATTGATTTCAGAGGAATTAAACTTATAAAATTGATATTAAATGATAATTTAACCATCAATTATATAATCACACATAATTTTTATTATCTATACAGACAGTTTTGGCTTACTGAAGCCGTTTTACATGTTGAAAATATCTATTTTGCGATTTACACCTGCTTTCACCTGAATTATTTATTTACAGATAACTCCGATCAAAATTTTCCAAATAGATTTTAAAACTTTAATTTATTATGAATCCAATGATATATAATACATAGCATAGATAAATTATTTTGACCCTTATTAGTTCAGTTTTAAACTGCACTCCAATTCAACTAAAATGCTCTAAAGGGCAGCCAGGCAAACACCCTAAGGATATGGCCAGGGGTGCGTCGATTTACCCAAAAGGACCCAAAAGGAACCCAAAAAGACCCAAAAGGAAATCAAAAGGACTCAAATTAATATATTATGATACATTGAAAATTAATAATTTGAATTTGATTATGCATATTATATTATAAATTTACCTAAAAGTTGGCAAAAAAACATACATTTGCATTTTCTTAAAGAAATAACATACGACTTTTATAACACATCAAACACTAAATCTGGTCAGATATGCTTTGATTTCTTTTAGCTGAAATTAACAAAGTACACTGTATTATTCCAGTGTTTGAAGTAACCATACGCCCGACCGCCCGAGACGCATAAATTTTGTCACGGGCGAACATATTTCCATGTATAGATGCCCGGCTGGACGTGTAAAATTTTTCTATAAATTAAAATTTTGATATTTGATAAACCTCTCTCAAATCAAATAATATTACTGGCTTCAAAGAGTTACAAGCAGTAATATTGTAATATCGTATAATATTTCGAGTACCTCGCAGTTATCTAACATACTACCGATCTTTTGCGGTGGAGTCGAGAAAGCTCTAAATCTCGTGAGATTACTGGGGCACATGGTATTGTTTACAGGAGTGGCAATCGAATGATTCGAACAATTTTACACCGAAAGTACAATGTATTGACCAAGAATAGTAGATTGTCAAATAAGGAAAGTTTCAAAAAAAATTTCAGCTTCACAATGTGATGATTTTCAATAAATGTTTAGTGAGAGGAGCCAGCTTGGTTAAAAATATCGTTAAAAATGTAACATTTTAGGTTTAGCTCCTGTCAAAAATCAATAAGGCTGGTTGTTAAGCAAGGTATTCCACCAGGATTTTTTACTTATCTGTCCTTATAAATTCTACAATGATCGATCTTGCATTGTATTCATTAGCACATTTGCCCCATCCAACATACGTTTCCTATCTCCATCGCGAAAGAGTTCCGCTAAGTTTTGTAATCGCGATATCAAGTAATCCAATCTAAGTGAGCTGGCCCCATTTACATTACTGTAACTTAACTTTTGAAATACAATTGCTTTTTTCGGGCTAGTACATTTTTGGCAGGGCTGATAACTTCCACTAGCAATCAGCCTGCATGTCTAGCTACATGTAATTTTACAGCGAGTTTCAAACACTGATTATTCTATTTCTCCTTCAGAATCTGTTTTATCATATCTTAGTATATAATATTTGATAAATAAAGAAATAAGTTTTATTTAATGGCATGTTCTAGGCATATGGTATCGGGGATGAAATCCAGTCAAAGCGCCCCCTAATAAAACCGTCCCGGTCAAAGCGTCCCTTGATTTTGGTCAAAGCTTACCCTGATTTTGGTCAAAATGTCCCCTGATTTTGGTCAAAACGCCCCTTATAGAATTTTACAGTAAAATGATGTTACAAAACCGCCCCCAAATATTGGTCAAAGCGTCCCCTGATTTTGGTCAAAGCGCCCCCTTACATTTTTTTCTTAGAAAAAATCGTCTTGGAACCGTCCCCAAGCAATGGTCAAAACGTCCCCGATTTTGGTCAAAGCGTCCCCTGATTTTGGTCAAGGCGCCCCCTAATATATTTTTACAAACATGTTACGGAATAAAGCAATGGTCAAAACGTCCCCGATTTTAGTCAAAGCATCCCCTGATTTTGGTCAAGACGCCCCCTAATATATTTTTACAAACATGTTATGGAATAAAACTGTTTTGTATTTATAATATTATCATTGTTTTGCAGTTACCCGAAAAAATTCTATAAAGGGGCCCTTTGACCAAATCAGGGGACATTTTGACCATTTCTTGGGGATCGACTCGAAACGTTTCTTTTCTGCAAAAATATATTAGGGGGCGTTTTGACCAAAATCATGGGGCGCTTTGACTAAAATCAGGGGACGCTTTGACCAAAATTTGGGGGCGGTATTTTTTCTATAAAAAAATGTTAAGGGACGCTTTGACCAAAATCATGGGGCGCTTTGATTTAAATCAGGGGACGCTTTGACCAATATTTGGGGGCGATATTTTTTCTATAAAAATATATTATGGGCGCTTTGACCAAAATCAGGGGGCGCCAGGGCTCGAGCTGTGATTCGCCATTGTCGCCAAATGCGAATTTTTTTCAAAAGTGGCGAAAAGAAATTCATAAGTGGCGAAAATGAATTTTTTAGATGTACCATGTACAAAATTTGTGCAGTCCTGGTTAGCTCCTTTGTTTATTCAATTTATACAGATAAGTCCCTTTGTTTATTTAATGCAACAGAGGTGTGAAAACTGAAACCTACATGTAGGAAATCACGCCTCGCTTGAACGAACACAGCTGACTAGGTAACTAGCCTGGAGCAATGAAGGGTTACAAAATTGCTTGAAATAATATAATTTGGATTAAACAAGGGGGGATAAAGTGTTATGAAATGAAGTTAGTAAATAAAAGATTTTTATCAACAAAATCTGCATCTATGTAGATTGTTTTTTAAACCGAAAGTAGGGAAATATGACGAAAATTGTAAAGAATTGGCTTTTAAATTTTACCTAATGAAAATTCAAAAATGTGTAAATTATACCATAACCTGACAAGAAATGAAAAAGAAATTGGTTTGGAAACAGAATTGTATTAGTAAATTACATTGAATTATTTACAATTACATGTGCTTGCATATTAAACCCTGGAAACTTCTCCAAGTTGTTGAAATAAAATCAAGTATTAAACCTAATTTTCATTACTTTTTAATATCTTCTTTTCTCATTTGTCTTAATTAATGAAATGATGAAAATTTCCATTAAAAATGTCATATATTTTTACAAGGTCTGTAGCCCCCCCCCCCCCCCCCCCCCCAGCAAAAAAAAAAAGAAAAAAAGAAGAGGACATTTTCTGTCAAGAGTTGGCTGATATTAATTCAATATCAAATTAATTGTCATATATATATAATTCAAGCATTATTTTTTTCTTTTTTTAAATGGATACTAGTCTTCCATAAGCTTTAAACATTAAAGTTTTAAAACAATGTCTGTGATAAATATAATAAAAAAAAATTGAATGACATAAAGTGCATTGCATTGTTGAGAAATCAGATGTAAGTATGCCTTTTTTTGTCGCGAAAACGGGCAAAAAATATTTTCAGTCCAGTGGGAGCCCTGGGGGGCGCTTTGACTAAAATCAGGGGACGCTTTGATTAAAATTAGGGGACGCTTTGACCTGGACGTTTTTATTAGGGGGTGCTTTGACTGGCTCCCTCGGGGATGGGGAGTTGGTTGGTGGGGGACCTCCCACCCCCACCCACAAAACACACTTTACCCTCAAAAAACTAGTTTTAGTTTTAATAAAATATGAAAGTATTTATTATATATCCATTTATTCTCTTTATTTCAAGTCCTTTTGGGTCGTTCTTAATTTCCTTTTGGGTTCTTTTGGGTCCTTTTGGGTAAATCGACGCACCGTATGGCCAGTGCGTCAAATCGTGGCATTAAGGGGAAGAGTTAAAATTACATGTAAGCATGAACCAACCCACCTGAAACCTAAGATGGCAAGTGTTGCATTTTCATTCTTTATACATACACTTGTTATATTTAAAATAGTAATTTTCAGCGATTTTTCATTTAAATGAGGGAATTCTCATACTCATAAAAAACAACAAATATTAAAAGACACCAACTGAAACCAAGCGCCTACAGCCTATAAAGACTGTATACCCAGAGGGACTTGCTCCCGGCGTGTAATTATTTATTAAAAAATCATATACGATTATATAAGCGTTTGTATATTACCATATATGACTTTTCAATAAATAATTATTACACGCCGGGATCAAGCCCCTTGGTGTTTTCAGGATACCATACCACCTGAACAATAGTTTTCCTGAAGTTATTACCTGTCCTAAGCCCGGCATTCCACCGCTCAGACGAAGCAATCTGTCCATGTTTCAAGTTTATAATATAAATTCCAAATCTATATTGTATAATAATAATTTTTTGTGATATTTTCGAAGAAAAATTCTTTTATCATGCACCACAGGATCTTCTTTGGCGAATGTAAAATACAGAATGATAAAGACGACGTAGAAATTTCCGGAAATGCCTACGGATGTTGTACACAAGTACTTTAAAAATGTATCAGATCCTTGTTACAATCGCGTATTAAAAGATTGATGGGCAATATGATCTATCCCTCTGTATTCAATAATCAAGATGTGAAAAAAGATATAGATTACATGATCAGTACGTACGAGTCCCTGCTACCAAAACAGGTAACAACAATTGTCTTTGTTTGTAAGGCTCGTTATATAAATTTTGATTCTATTTTAGAACTTGGACTGAATTCTACAAGTGGTAATTCAACTTATACTCATAGTTCCCTATCTAAGAAAGAAATTCTTCAAAATCATATGTCAGTTTTGAATATTTTTAATATCCCAAACCGCCAAAATGAATTTGAAATACCATATCTATAATGGATTCCGAAACTTCATAAAGATCCTTACAAGCAAATTCACTTAGTGGGTTCCAGTAAATGCTCAACTAAGCCTCTTTCTTTACTCCTCACTAAGATATTAACAGTAGTAAATGAGAAACTTCAAGAGTACTGTGCAACAATATTTTCGAGAAGTGGTGTAAACCAGATGTGGATACTTTTAATTTCAAGGAACTTTTGTACAATTTGTAATCACAAGATATTACAAAAAAAATCAACAGCTTTTAAAAATAGCATGACTTTTCAACTTTTAATACACAACCATTCCCCGATATGTAACTTAAAGTCAAGGCTTTTTGATTGCTTTTCAGTAAAAATGGAACTCGTAAATATACTTACCTAGCCATTGGTCATTTGCATAGTAATTTTGTTTTAAAAAATACATAATTCTGATTGTACATACATTGTACGTGTCTCGGAAGTTGACATAGAAAAAATGCTTGAGTTTCTGTTTGACAATATCTTTGTGGTTTTTGGAGACCAGGTCTTCCAACAATCTAAATAGGAATTCCCATGGTATTCAAGTGAGCAATTCTGTGAGGAAGTATTAACCACTTTATTAAAAACCATGTAGGCTATGACTTTAAAATCCTCTTCTTTGCTCTAGCACTTCTAAAATGTGTGTATGATTATTTTTCAGTATTCAGTTCTATGTGTTTGAACTGACCAGACAACTACCAAGGTTTTCAATGTACATGTATGCTCCATGCGCCCCGTTATAAGCAGATCTATATATTTTCGAAAGGAAGAAAGCACTTACTGTGGCATCAAACCCGATATTTAGATATATCGACGACGTATTTTCAATTAACAATGATTATTTCCATTCTTATGTTGATACGATATATCCCGGTTAGGGCTGTGTATTGAGCCAAAAAAATTCGATACGATACGATACGATGCAATATTTCTTAAAAGCGATCTGCGATATATTGGATTCAAACAAGTTCATAAAAAAGGCTTATACACCATTTAATGCATGAATTTCATAGAAATTGAGTGTTTAATGACCAATTTCAAAGTTCTTGTCTCTCTGCCATTACCAATAACACTTCAAATTAAAACTTTTAATGACTGTAAAATCAACATGTTAAAATTAAATTGTCTATGAATTTTGTAATAATTATAAAAACTGTGTTATTCTCTTAATAAGTATATCATTATTGATCAGTTTTAATTAAAAAAGGTGAAACATAATCTTTGGTGATTGAAATCTTTTTAACAGAATTAGAAGAAGGATTGCTTGTCCTATACCTATTGGAAATTGTTTTTCGATACGATATGACTCTTTAATATCTTAAATATATCTTTAATATCAATTTAATTAATTTCATTAATATCTTTAATACGTATCGATATATCTATATATTGACACAGCCCTAATCCCGGTGAGCTTGAGATAAAAGAGTTTAACACATCTGTGTCATATTTGGATATTTTACTTGACAAGGACGTTAATATGATAATATAACAACCAAACTCCTTGATAAACGTGATGACTTTAACTTTTCAAACGTCAACTGACCTAGCTTACTTATGCAGCAATATACCTTCATCACCTGCATACGGAGCTTAATATATATCTCAGTTGATTCGATACTTAAGAACATGCTCCACGTATGTATAATTTCTAAAACGAGGTAATTTATTGACAAACAAGTGGATGAAACAAGAATATCAGCAGTCTCGTTTGAAGTCATTATTTCGTACATTGTAAGTTCTTTGGTCTATACAATGACCTTGTCAGCAAATATAATTTATCATCGAGTCAAATGCTGACTGACGTTTTTCAAACTAATTTTTTTAGTCCATTATTTATACGCTGAATTGACGACGGAATTTTTTCAAGACAAGTGTGACAGGTCGGCAGATAGTGCTCACTCCTCCATGACACCTGATACCACCTACAAGTATGATGTTTTGGAGGTCCGTGTCTGCTCTGCTCCTATTTTGTATTGTTATATGGACGTTTGAGCTTGAATACTGTTCGTTATCGCCACATAGTTCATTAGAAATAAATTTCATTCATTGAAACGCGACATGTGATGTTCTCGGTGCAATTAGATTCAACAAAGGGGCATATTTAAATACATATAGGAACAGTAAATGTTAACTTTTGCTTGTAATTACTAGTGACACAAAAGTTTTCAAGGTAAACATGTCTCTCTTTTAAAGGAAAATATGATGATTAAAAAAAATGGTTTTAAAAGTCTTTATTATCATTGGTAGCAAACTATTTAATGGCTTTCAGCATTGCAATTTGGATTCCCTGAATCTTTTTAGTCCTCAATATTATGACTCAGTTGTTCACTGAAATCAGAAAAAAGCTACATTAGTATAACATGAGTAATGATTAGGCATTGTACTAATGACACAAAAAGATGACTTTTTTAATTTGCAATGATTTCTAAATTATTTTGAATGTCTTAATATCTAAACGAGTAAATCTGAAATACTGTAAATGCTGAACTATAAACAAAGATATTGAATATGTGAAGTTTTCTGTTTTATCAGTGTAGAAAAAGGTGACAAACCCATCAATGTTCTTATTTTCAGTAAGCACTTGAGTATACTTCATGTCCGCCCTAGGATCCGAGGGAACAGTTTTAGTACGTTTGGCACATTTCCAATCTTTCCAGTTTCTCGTCCAAATAACAAGGCAGATTAAACAAACGAATGATGCGCATCTCAGACTCAAGGAAAATCCGTGAAAAGAAAGTCGGAAAGATCGGAAGTCATAAAGTTCACACGCACCGGAAGATGTGCACTGAAACTGCCAAATGTAGCAGGAACCATCCAAGACCTTACCAAAAAGGATCGGCGATAATCCCCAGCCTGAAAGATATAAGGTATTCAATGTATAAAGACCATATTTTCTACCTAATAAATGAATGATCTGATATTTTTAATTATGGTAGCATTTTGAAATTGTTCAAATAAAAATCTCCACCGAAGGAATTTACACAATTTTGATTATTGTCCAATTAACTGGACCTTGAAATTTAAAATTGAAGTCTATGAGCCTGTTGTGAGGTGTGTTGTATTTGTATTGTTTCATCATGTATATTATTAGTAACATTAAATTTCTTGAATATTCCAGAGTGGTCAACATGTTTGGTCATTTTTTCTAGAACATTCTTAAATTTTGTGTATGTCCAGATTGTTCCAGTAATATCATGTTTGAACAACTTCTAGAATATTCTAAATTTATGATACTGTATAAATACCCTGTCCATTCGATGGACTTGACTTTTTTGTCGTATAAGCACCATTGAGGTATAATTAGGATATATTTTCACTGGGACATTGTAAGCAGCAACGGACACTCTGATGTATGTATTTTTAGAGTCTTGCTAAGTTTGTACTTTATGATTTATATATATTACTGTAAATAAATTATTGTTAAGTTTAAATTGTGTGATTGATCTTTGCTGGCATTTAGGGTTATTCTGACCCATATAACAAGCCGCACATATTTTTATCAGATATTGTAAAAATTAATTTGAATTTCAAACTAATCTCTTGGTGAAAATATGCATAACTCCCTTTTTATTAAATTTTGAAATACAATAAATTATTTACCGTAGGAATTTTGAGAAATCAAAAATTTCCTTCTTTTCATCAAGGGCAAATAACTCTTCAAAAACTTTTAACGTTCAAAATGACTGTCTCCTTACATGTTATCAGTCTTGTGTCCAATCCTTTTGTTGTAACATCTTAACAATAAAATATGTTCAAACCATCAGTCTTGTGAATTTGGTTCATTTCACTTTTATCGCCATCTAGCAATGCGTTTTTAACTAGTTTCATTTTATTTAAAATTGTTCAAAATCCCTTCATTATACATTGAATATCTCAATCCCACTTTTATCAATAGAACAAGAAAGTTGTATTATAAGGGAAGTTGTTGATAGAAAAGTTGAAATTATTACGTTTAGTTTTTATAATAAGTTTGTCATTAATATATTTTTCTAGTAAAATAGATGTGTAAAACTTTAGCTGCTGTGTCTTTCTAGTTCAAAGGAATCTATTTATCAAATCGACGTAGGACTGAAAATGAATATTGTTAAGTTTTAAATATTTACATTTCTACTTGTTTTCTCTGTGATAAATCTAAATGTTCACAAGAGACTTATTCCTTTCATATTGAATTTTTGAAAAAAAATCAAGTCTTCTTCATATGAATACAAAAAAAGGTCTGCTATCAACGTGGCGAAATGAAAACCTATGAGAATCAAACAGATATAAAAAAAAATAATAATACATGGGTATTGTCAATCAAAAACTGAAACATCTTATAAATATTGGCATCGAAATAGAATCAGAATGTTTTGTCTAATGTCAGCATTAGACAAAACGTTTTCCTATATCCTCGTGACTAATGTATAATTGCTCTAACAGATATGACATATTGAAGAGTTTCCAGAATGCATTGTTTATTTTTATGTGAAAGATGGTATATAGGAATCTTACCAAGAGCAGATACTAAGCAGCTGTTAAGACCGAACGCGGAGGCTTTGTCCCTGTCATCGACAGATCTAAAAAAAAAAAAAAAAAAGAGAGAGAGAGATACATTCAAATAAGTGAAAAATAATGAGATATATTCAAATACCTATTTAAAGGGTTTTTCTCGAGCCAAACATATTCAGTTAAGAAAAACTTAAAGAGCCTTTGAATTATGCCACCATCCCATCCCTATTTGAGGATATACAAAACATTACGGTTTCATACCATCTTATTATCTATTTCCATTTACGATATTCACATACAAAAAAGAAGTTTTTCCTTATAATTTTCTCTTGATACCTTAAGATAGCAATTGCATTCGGTGCTATTTTCATTGACTCTGAAATGCTGGAGAGGAGAATAAAGATGACATATGGTATCAGATTGGGACAGTTGGATTCACAGAATCCAGCCTCCGCCTGACCATCGGGTATACAGGTACAATTGGAAAACATCTAGAATAAAAATGACGGCTAACATAAATATGGAGAAATGAGCTAAATCCTGATTTTTTCATACATCACAAAAGTCTGCATGGATGTGTAATCATTTTTCAGTTCAATGAAAACACCGACTTAATAAACACTCTGCTTGGATACTTACACGACCATTTCTATACAATTCTTGGCATCCGGCAAAACACGGAGAATGGTAATTAACCTTATTTGAACCGCATACAGGGAAAAAGTTGTCATCCTGACATGCGCAATCAAGTGAGCAATTCTGTGAGGAAATGTCAACATATCCAGGGATGCTGAAATTTAAAAAAAAAAGAATAAAATTTTCTGATATTATAGTAACTTTTTAAAATCAATTTAATCCTTATTCCTACAAAGTCAAAAGAAAAGAAAATGCAATAATGAAGTACGAGATATCAAACAGGAATCAAGCATTAAAAGGCCTTTGAAACAATTCAGATCGGGAGCAGTGCAGAAACGGACCCCTAAAACATTAGAGGTGGGATCACGTGCCATGGAGAAGTACGCATCCCCTGTCGACCGGTCACACTTGTTTCGTGCTCATTCTCATGATCGGGTTTAAAATTCCCAGACAATTGTTTACATAATAACCTATTATATTAACAACTACTATGAAAATCACGATATGGACGTGTATTTTGATATCATTTCAAATTTCTTTTTTTTTTAAAGTTATTGCAGAAAATCATATTTAATATATAATACAGTCTTTATACCCAAACATATTGAAAGGTAGAATTACAATTATAAACTCCCATTTCTCATGGAGATAACAAATATATTTTTATCCCATGTTTAACCCTTTATCCCGTTGATATAGCTCATATAAAAGTCCTATATAAAAACAGTATACATTTATTGACTGAGTTCGCGAGGGCAACATGCGTTTTGTCTGACCCAAGAACTAAACTGTCTGCCTGAGGGTCGACAAAACGCATTTTTGCCCGAGAACATAGTCAATAAATGTTTTGTTATACCTTTCATTTTAATTTTTTTATATGCATGTATTTTGTACTGTCTTCCGTGATGTAACCTCAGGTCCGTCACCTGAACACCAACGAATGAAAATGAGATTAAGCTCCGCCTATTCTGTGACGTAAGCGGTCCAACATCTCATCGACCGGTCCAACATCTCACTCAGCGGTCCAACGTCGCTTTTTTATGCACGTCAGCAAAATATTAGAAATGTTAGACTTTTTCCGTATAGATTTGTATAGGAACAAATTTTAAAGGTATTACAATGTTAAACATTGATTGTGGTGTATAAATCATGGGTTGAAAAGAATCTCACATGATTTTTAGTTAGATATGATTTTCATCCAATTTGTTCTGTGTTTTTATCCCGTCGCCAAGGCTCAGGGATAAAAACCACTCAATTCGTTGGATAAAAATCATCTCCAACTACACATCATGTGAGACCCTATATATACATATACATATATAAACAATTGACTCACCAAGTGCTAAAAACACTCACTTTACTTGAGGACCAATGATAGTTGGTTGTGGGCAACTCATGAGCATTGCAAGAGCCAAGAAAATAATATTAAAGGTATAGAAGCCTAAGATCATCCTATAAACATTTCTAGGGGTCATCGCTATTTTCCTTGTGACGATTCCTCCCAGAAATGACCCGAAAGCTACTGCCGATATATTAGCACCAGCTAAAATACAACGTAAAATTTATATTTATAAAAGAGTATTATATGAATGAAACGGTAATTAAAATTTATATAAGACAAAAATTAGGAAAGTTCATATCATAAAAATGCTATTTTTCTTCATGAACACGTACAAAAGATGTACTTGGATCAACGAGAGTGTTCAAAGAGACTTCATTTTGATTGTGAGTTCATTCATACCTAATATGTAGTTGGCAAGAGACAGTGGTATATTGAAATGTGTCTTCACAAATTTAACCAAGAAACCTTGGACTCCCCCGACTGACATTATGTTGAAGATTTGATTGGCTGACGTGAGAAGAAAAACTGGATTTCGAACGACTTTCCAATATCCCTTGACGCTCACTAAAAAGAGAGAACAAAATCTATTACCAAAAAAAAATTAATTATTGGAAGGAGAAAAGAAATAAACTATAGCCTCTAATATTCTTGAAGTTTTTATCTGGTGTTTGGGTTTTAACTTAGTTATAGAGCTCTTTTAACCATGATCATCAAGATAAGGAAATTTCAATTTTTTCTTCATTAAAATGAACATTATCAAATTTATTAATCAGTACTTTAAAGCTGAACACTACTCGTAAAAAGGCATAGTCTGCCATGTTCCCTTTTCATCAACGCTCTCCCTACAACCCCTATATAAGGAGCAGATCGCTTATTAGTTCAATGTATTTCACTGTAGATATCCGAAGAGTGTAGACGTACATCTTACACTGCCGTGCTGCTCGGTTACGATGAAATGATAAAATTTATGTACTTATTCCAAAACAGGACAAAAGTATCATGAAAAATACAGGTCAATACATTATTTACAAGCTGAAAATGCTTATAAAAACAAGGATTAAACGCAAAAAAATCTAAGACCACGATAGGAGTATTGCATGTCAGCCACGAGTTTCAGTTGTAACAAATATACCCGTCTGACGGTGCCTATTTATAAGAAGTGTTCAGCTTTAATCCAAGTATTCATACTTTCTTGAAAATAGAAAACTATGATTTTAACCAGTTTTCTTTCAAATTATTAAAAAGTAGATTTTTGTGGATTAAATATGCAAGCGTAAATTTTACTCACATTTAACTTTTTCTGAAAATGAACATTCTTGAACAACTGGCCTTTTTCGAATTTTTCCCTTTGCCATATCTTTTTTGGACATTTTAAGTTGTCTTGGAAACAGAGCCAGAGGGAATGCTAGGATAATGGACACCGATCCAAAGACAAGAAAACCCAGCCACCAAGCTCCTATCCATCGGGGATCACGTGTGTCCATATCAACATCTTCAACAGAAAAAATATATACCATAACAAATACCAAAAGTAAAACACCCTTGTTTTTTTATTAATAGGCATTGGTATTAATAATTTCACCAATATTCTAGAAAATCCAGAAAAACAAAGAAAAAAGTGAAAACTGTTTTAAAAAACGTTTTGGCTTTTGCTTAAATGATAACTTGGCCGTATAAATAACAGACATTCCTATGTTTTAAGAGACAATAATCCTAATGATTACGAATTTTAATGAGTGATAAATACATGTACTACCAGTTGATTCAGAGCAATTCAACCCTACCTAATGATCTATCAAGCTAAAAGCCTCTTCTCAAATCACCTTGACATACAATATAGTAATCGGACTCGAAAATTTATCAAACTTACCTTCCAAAGTTACGTACAGTTTGCTGAAGTATCCCCCGAGTCCAAATGCAATTGCTGGACCGAAAATAGACGAAGCGCTGGCAATACCTAAGTATCATACATAGCAAATACACTTTTGAAATCAGTCAATATTTTTGCCAGCAAACATAATTTCTTTTTAACTTACTATGAATAAATAATAATTATGATATCAAACAAATTATATGTACCTGAGTAAAATCCTGTTTTTCTTCGGTCAATGTTGTCATCAACATAAACCATGTAATAGGGGCCCCGTGGGGCTTTTCCGATGCCCTGTAAGGTCATACCAATCCCAATAAAGACCAATGCAAGATTCTTTATTGAATAACTCGGTGCAGTTAAAACTTTATTTGGGTTTTCCATACTTGATTGGCACTCTTCTTCAGTGACATTGAACCCGGGACGACAAAGGAGATTTATTTTATCGCTATTTTTTGTGGTATTTGTGACCACTGAATCCAAGTTCAGAACTGGTAAAAGGTTTCGCGACACAGCAATAAAGTGGGGGATGCTACATGTAAGCCCAGAAATTCCGTACAATAAAATGCATAAAAATAGCATGCGCGGAATGTGAACAAACCTAGCAGCAGCCGACACAAATAAAACAACCGCGAAAAATCCTATATCATTGAAGGCCATTACTAGTCCACTCTGGGCGCTATTCAAACCAAACTGTCGCTCCAGATTTGGTACCTGTGTATTAACATAAGCTACAAGCGTCTGAGATATCATGCCAACTACACTAAATATTCCCACAAACATATTGATGTTGGCAAAGTGCTGGAGAAATTTCGGTCGAAATTTGCCGATTCCACATTCGACGTCTTCTTCCCTGGTTGCACTCATTTTGCTGTTCAAAAAAGGCATTAAAATGAATTGATATATGTTTTACATCAGTTATTTAGATACTGAATAAGACGAAGCTAGGATTCTCTCTGAAGCCAAGGATTAATTTTTTCAAAGAACACCGCTAATTTTTCTTTAGAAATTTGAATTTAGTATTAAAACTAAAAATTAAACATTTAATAGAAATTTTGCATAAACGTTTATATACTTCCTTATCCTATATATATTTGATACTGTATCTTTATTACACAAAGAGATCAACTACTGGACTTCTATATCATTTCAGACAAGGTAACAACATTTATATTATCACCCTCGCATAATATCAATATGATAAATGATATTGATTTGGCATCTTAATATCAATAAGTAACATGTTGGAAGTTTTGATGTTACCTATATTTGTTAAAATAATAAAATAATTACATGTAATAGGAAAGACAGTTTGTGGTGCACTTAGTTTAGCCAATTCACTTAGAGAGCAATACAACGATAAAAATGAAAGGTTTCGCCTTGTCTATGTCAAGACTTCACCCTGTCTGTGGCAGTATTTTATCCACCTTTTTTGCTTTTGTTTGATCATCTAGTTCTAGGAGGCTAACTTCAGTGTATTATGTTTGTTGTAATTACGTAACATGTACTCATTCTGGTCTGCTTTACCTATAATGTACATGTATTACATTGAAGTTTAATTTTATGTCTCCCAGTAATTCTTATAATTTTGATTTTATCCTCATTTGCAATAAATGACATTTATGGAATCACAAGTTGTTTTGTCATTGTTTTGGCAAAACAGTAGCTTCACTGAAGGCAATTTTTTGGAGTGGAAGAAGATTTTTTAAGGAATAAGTGTCTAATTTTTTTTTCTTTCAAGATGTGATCAATCGAGTGGCTTGCAGAATAATTTGCATAAAGGCGTTTATGCATAAAATTATCGCGCAAGCCAATCGATTGATCATCGTCATGAAATCGAAAAAATCTTACAGTTATAGCTTATATTTACATGTTCTTTATTCCGCCAATCCACGTACTACAAACCACGCTTCTTGTCTATTTGTCCCGTCCTGCATATGATATTGTTAACCACGCCTATTGATGAAGCATTACACTTATGTAGAAATAAAATACATTAACTATTTATGAATTTATCTGGCAAAAAGATATTTGAAATGTAAATACTGAAAGAAAAATTTATGGTTATATTGTTTTAAGTAAATTAGATTTGATTGAATCCTATATTCAATACGTATTATATAATGTATGTTTGTTTATTTTGGTATTTTATTGTGACCCCCCCCCCTCCGTTGTTTATGTAATATGTTTTTATGCACCCAACCAGGGGGCTCTTTGTGTAAATTTATGCGATCGTTGTACAGAATTTTGTTTATGTAAGAACTTACATAACGCACCCTGTCGGAGGCCTATCAATTTTAACTTCAGCTAATCAGCGCCTTTCATTATCATTTTGTTTTTATCGAGAGTGGCTGTATTTTCCTTAGCTACCCTTCTCCAACCCAAGCGGTTTACTTACATCCTTTGTAGTTTATTATATAAATATTGCATGTAGTTGAGTGTAACACTGATAATTTTTTACCCCAACCGAGGCGCAGCCGAGGTTGACAATGGTTTTCTTGGGGTGAAAATTTTCAATGTTACACTCAATTACATGCAATATTTATTATATTATACTGAATGTTTTATACAAATACATATAACAGTGAACCGTGCGCGCATGAATTTTGCGCAGTTGCTATTTTTTGGAATATCACCCGTCGTCAAGCACTGTTGACTGTTGCTACGCTGGAGGGCGTGGCTTCATTATTCAGCGGGTAATAGCGTTTTTTAACAAATGTTTCTGGACCAATCAGATTCAACTAATTTACATGAAAGTATAATATTGATATATATTATATGTGTTTGTTTGTTTGCAGTATTTTTGGCAACATAATCAATGTACAGTGTGAATGGGTTTTTTTTTTTAATTTAATTAATTTTTATTTTTTACTTTTTTTGTTCCTGTATACGCTCTCCTTTAAGACAATGTTTTAAAGCCCCTTAAAATCTTATTCCGATATATCCGACCTTTTCTAGGCTTTTTTCACGATTTTGATGCTCTTTGCTTTACGGGCAACAAAAGTTTGGAAAAAGTCAGAGATTTCGAACTGCTCGTAGCATCAGAACTTTAGCGCTGTGAATAAAAACTAATATACAAAACTATATCCTACATTTCTACAGCCAAACTTCCTGTTGTTGTACCTAAAATTTTATCATGGCATTTAACTAGAGAGGGAAAATGATACTTCTCGAGTTAAATTTTAGTATATCGAATAGTTCCTTTTAATTTATCATTTTATGCAACATTTTATGCAACAAACTTCATGTTGTTAAGGTGTTGTTGACTCTAGGAAACGACAGAAGATATTGGTAAAGATCTCGAGCTAATAAATTTTTCTGTCCCTGCATGGTATTATAGCAGAAGAAATTCAATTAAGGTATTCAGTTTATAATATTTACATTTCCAATGGTTTTGTCCGAGATACTAGTAAAATGGCAAATAGTAAATGTACTTTATTTGCCCATAAATGTATTAGTTCATCAAAAGGGGTTTAAAAAAACTCACGTGCAGGGCGGGACAAATAGCTAGACAGAAGCAGGGCTTGGAGCACGTGGAATGGCGAAATCAAAAGCATGTTAATATAAGGAAGAACTGTCAGATTTTTCAATTTCATGACGATGATCAAACGATTGGCTTGTGTGATAATTTTATGTATAAATGCCTTCGATGTTTATGCAAATTATCACGCAAGCCAATCGATTGATCACATCATGAAATAAAAAAAAATAAGACAGTTATTCCTTAAATGAAGAATTTTGAACAATTTTGAATATTGTGAAATCATTCATTTTATGGTATGAAGAGACCAACGAGTTAATGTCCACCAAGAATTCAATTTTTCACATACATAGTTCAGTATAAAGATAGAGTTTAAGCATATTCTCAACAAGAGATTTGTTTGAAATTCAGATAACTTTTTACAATATCTTATAAAACATGTGCTACCCATAGACTTCAATGTAAAATTCAAGGTGAAATTAAATGGACAATAATCAAAATTTTGTAAATTCCTTTGGTGAAGCATTTTTATTTGATAGCATCTTTAAAATGCTACCATGATTTAAAATATCAGAAAATTCATTTACTAGTAAAGGGTAGAAAATATGGTCATTATACATGGAAAACCTTAAGTGCTACATGTATATTTGTATTTTGTTTATGTAAGTACTTACATAATGCACCCCGTCGGAGCTTCTCAGTTTTAATTTCAGCCAATAGCTGATCAGCGTCTTTCATTATCATTTTGTTTTTTTCCGAGAGAGACTGTATTTTCCTTAGCTACCCTCCTCCAACCAGCTGTTTACTTACCTATTTTGTATTTTATTGATTTATATTGTACATATGTGTTAGTCTGCTTGCAGTATTTTTGGCATCATAATCAATGTATCTGGTAGTTTTAGGTCACATGAGTTTACTCAGTTGACCTATTGCTATCCGTTTTCGTTCTTCATCGTGCGTTGCACGTCGTGTGTTAACATTTAAACATTTTCAGCTTCTTCTCTGCAACAATTCAACCAATTTTAATAAGTTTGGCATAAAGCATCTATGGGTGAAGGGAAACCAAAATTGTGAATTCTATTGATTATATAGTGAAAATACATTGATTGTGTCTTTGAAAATCTACTTCTCTTCTCATAGTTATTTAATAAACAAACTAAATACATAGTTATGTTCAATAAGTCTGCTTCTCCCAAAATTGTGAATTTCATAGCGCCATGGTCAGGGATCCTGGTGTTCGGGCGGGATTCTTCTACTTGTATACATGTGGTGAAAATGCATATACTCTTTGAAAATCATCTACTCTGCTCCTGGGTATTAAACCAATGAACCATGTGTATATTTATAATGACGAAAGATGCCTCTTCCAGAATTGTGAATTTCAAGGCCCCTGGGTGAAATAAAATCTATGATAAAATTTCCAGAATTTTAAAATATGTGCTCCCAGGGTCAATGATCTCTTTGGTTATGATAAGCAATGGTGACTCTTTCAAAATTGCGAATTTCATGGCCTTTGGTTTAAAACACAAAGCAATTCAATTGTTGGAAAAGTTGTTATATGATACTCGGGTGACCTATAAGGCCCGTGGACCTCTTGTTTTTTTATTCATTAATTTTTATTTTTTTAAAATTGTTTTTTGGTCCTGTATGCACTACTTTTTAACTTTATACGGGAAATACCACACAGATCAAGAATGTTCTCATATTCAAATCTGATTCAAGTGTGAATAGGTGGAATCTAAATTTTTAACAAGTGAGAATAGGTACAAGACACCAAGTTAAGGGTGTCCTGTTCGGATGAGACTTTCAAATGTAGATCAGTAAAATTGTTGTTTTGCAAGCCTCATAAATTATGTTTACACCTACAGGTATTCATTATCATGAGAATTCGCTGGAGCTTGATTTGAAGTTTTTGGGCTTTAGCCCCGGTTACGCTGTCCTGTTGATAAAAATTACTTAGCAATTGTACATTCCCAAAGCGTTAACCACTTTGAAGTGAAAGTGGGGGGGGGGGTCAATCGGATGGGACCTTGAAATTGAAACCCCGTGTCATGACAGTTAGCACGATAAAGATTTCACTGCTCAATGTGAGTGCCGAGTAAAGGTGTACAATTGAAACCCTTCATCTGTATATGGCGACGTCTCCGTAAGAGTGAACAATTCTCAAACAGAACGTATAAAACGAAATACAAACTATCCACACTTTGAAGAAATTCCGAAAGCTGCTACACAGTCCCATTTGATAAAGAAAAAAATACTTTAAGCGACAGGAGTTTTAGTACCATGGGACCAAAATTGTGGAACGAATTACCTTAATTTGCATATTTAACAATTAAAATCTGTCGATATTTGAAAACATCTGAAAAATTACTTTTTTAGGGACTTTGATGTCTTATTCATA